GGACATTTCCACCCACCCACCCACTGCAGGCACCTTCCCATCTGCACTGCCTGAGCTGACTCTTCCCCACGGAGATGTTCCCTTCCTGTGCATGGGCCATGAGCAGGAATAACCCCACTGCTTTTAAGGCACGGTGGTTTGGGCAGGTGTGGGTGGAAGGAAGGGTAGAATGAGGTGAGTACAGGCCCTGAGTAAACACAGAGGGCTCCAGTGTGTCTACATTTCACGTGAATGCCACCAGCCCCTGGACCCTGACTGACCTAAGCCATGGCTGCTCAGCTCCCAAGTCTCAAGTCCTCCCTCTTCCAAAGGCACCACATGGGGTGGACTTCAGCAGTGGGGTGAGCTCCCTGTGGTCTGTGCCAGGATGGCAGAGGGCACACAGGAAGGCGGCACCCCTGTCACCCCCACTGAAGGGGACCCCAGGCTGTGTCACTGTCCAGCCAGTCTCCGAGGTCAGGGAGCTGGAACTGGAGCAGTGGCACCCACGGGGACAGCTGAGCGTGGCACAGACCACGCTCTTCCAGCGCCCTCTGCCCTGCAGGAGCAGATCTGCCAATGCACGGTGTCACTCAGCCCATGAACTGTCACATCACCGTCCGGGGAACCACAGCCTCCCAAAAACCAGCTGGTGCTCAGGCTCCAGCGGCAGCTCCAGGGCAGCCCGAGAGCTCGGATCCACGTGAGACAACGGTGCCATCCAGTGGCTGGTGAGCCCGCGCTCCCCTTGGCACATCCACACAACCTCCACCTGCCTTGGGTTTGGCTTTTTCTTTATTTTTGACACAAACAGAGCTGCCCTGTCCATGCATGACCCCGTCCTCATGAGCTCTGCCCAGTCACAGGGCAGAGCAGTGGTGGCAGGACACATGACACTGCCAGCTGTCACATTTAGAGTAAACAGGGACTTAGAAGAGAGGGCCAGCATTTGCTGAAAGTTCAAACATCCAATTAAATGTTCTTTTATTTAAAAATAATAAATTAATTTAACTTGGAAAAGTGATGAACAGATTCCTTGGCAGGAAAGGTCTGAAACAGAAACAACTTTGAGCTGTCAGCATTCACTACTCTTATTTCTGCTTTGCTTTAGTGAACTTTAGTATCTGTTATCCACTGCCTGCCTTGTGAATCTCAGCTGCTGTCTGGCTTGGCAGATATTTTACAATACCTTTAATCTTATCTCTACTTTATATAGAAACCACAATTGAACCTGCTGAAACACACTTCCCAGTCACTAAAGAACGAAAACAAAAGAAACATTTTCTTCTTGTTGGACTCTCTTTTATTCAGCCTTTAGACTCAAAAAAGCACCTTTCCTGTACCTTTTCTTCTGTAACTATGTGGACTATATAGTTGTTTGTTTTTTTTTTTAAGATGCAACAGCTCTCTCCATGAACTTTAGTGATTCACAGGAGCCAGGGCTGTTCAGGTACCCACCAAAGAGCCCTGAAACTGTGAAACATGACAAAACTGCAAGATTTTGCCATAGATGCCAAAGGCAGCTCCATCCAGACAAGGATGAAAAAAGGGCAAAGAGCAGATCTGGTTCAATAGCAAAACACCAATTGCAGGAGGATTTCCCAGGCACTGGACTGACTCCAGTGTTTTGTAGGAGATCACAGGGACCAGCAGCTACTGCTACTTGTGAGGATCCTGGATACTGCAAGAATTTTGCCCAGGGTAATTTTTCTCTTCAGATAATTTCATCCCTGTCCTTTCTCGTTTTCCTTCCCTCTGTAAGAGCTGACAGCTCCTCCCTTTGGAGCAGTATTGTTTTCCCTATGGGAACCAGGCTGTGATGTGGCTGTTCCCAGAGGAGCAGAGCAGGTGGTGGGATGATGGCACAGCTTTCCCTTTCAGGGATGTACAAGAACACCCTCTCCCTACTTGCAGCCAGCCTGGACTGTGCAATGAGCCTGGCAAGTTCCTGGGCAGCTGGGGGAGAAGAGGGATTGTGATGAATTCCCCAGGAGCTCTTCACCCCCACCCGGACTAGGTTAGCCCAAGCCACTGCCTGCTGATTCCTCCATCACCAGGCTATCTCCAGTGATGCATTAATGGTGGCCCTAATCTTTATTTTTATCCTGGAAAATCCAGTGCCATCACCTGCAGCTCACTGCTTTCTCTTTCCAGCTCAGTTTTGTCTGCTAGGGAAAGCATACATGGGTAGATAAGCACGTGCTGGCAGCACAGTAACTGCTTTACTGCAGTTAAGAGATCTGCAGAAGCAACTTCTTGCCATTATACAGGGCATGTGTTTCCAGGAACAGGCACTGGGAGCAAGGAGAACAGCCCTCCATGCAGCAATCAGTGTCTCCAACACTTTCTAGAAGGGAAAGCAATCAGCACCAGCCACAACCTTTACTCCTTAAACTTCCCCAGAGGAAACATTGCAAAGCATCAAAAGGATTTAAACCTGTCCAGCTGCTGCTGAGGCATAATTAACAGTTGCACAGTCAGCTCCAACTGCAGCTGACAAAGCCTTAGCAGAATCCTCTGTTTATCACACTCCTGGAGTATTTATAGATCCACAGCAAGGCAGGAGGGAGAGAGAAAAGGAGAATGATAGGTGAGCTGCTAACTAGGGGGGGATAACATTTGCTTTCAGCTGCATGGCATTTCCTTGGCCCCCAGTGAGGCTTTAGGAGGGACAGGCAAGCAGGATGCCTGGAGTGCAGCCTCTTCCCAGTGGGACACAGAAGTAGGTCCTCAGGTGGGAGATGTGGGGGGTCCATCCCCAGCTGAGACACTGAGGCCCTTTGTCAAACAGGGGGACTGTGGCTGTTGCAGTGGGGTTCTGGGGCACACAGGTGCCCTGTGTCCTCACCAGGAGCCCTTTCCTCACTGGGAATTGGCCCTTCCTGCTCACATCTCCCTCCAGATGTAAGGAGCTGCAGGTGAAGAGAAACCAGCCTGATCTTCCACAGCACTGACTATAAACTGACCTTGGACCATGTCATTGGTCCCTCCTCGTCTCTCCTCTGTGTTGTGTACAACCCTGGGCCTCTTCACTGATATAAAAATAGCAATTGTCATTGAGCTCCCTTGGCAATCTGTGGGGAATGGAGGAATGCTGGGTCCCCAGGATGTTTGAACTGTAGGCTGGAAGGAGATGCTGGAGTTGATGGGATGGGAGATATGGGCAAGCAGACAGGGCAGGGGCTGCCAGCAAGATCCCAGCTACTCTGGGCTGGAAAGGAGAGGGAAGGAGGTTGTCAGCCCAGCTCTCCTTTCCAAGGGAAGGCATCCCATAAAAACTGCTATGTATCTCTTTGGCATTTTCACAGCTCTCCCAGCCCTGAGCAGGAACTGCTCACATAAAGCAGCTGTGTCCCAGTGCAGGGGGCTGCAGGACCTGCTGCTCTTACCATAATCTTATCTGCTTTTAACTGCACCAGGCTGTGCCCAGGCATTATCAGCGCTGATTTTATTTCCCGCTGTGGCTTTATGACCTCACTGAGACCATAAATGCATCTAAAGTCTAACTAAAACAAATTCATTTTTCCCATAAAGAGTCTTATAAAAAAAATTATGGCAATGCTATTCCAAAAGGGAAGGATGGTCATATTCCTTGCAGGTAACAAGACTTCTTTACTAACTTGCTGTTCAGCCACAAAACAGCCCCATTACTCATGGCTAATGTAACTTCCCTGGGGAGTTGCCTCATACTGTGATGGCCTGAGAGGACTGTTGGAGAGAGATGCTGCAGCTCTTGAGGCTGCACCCCACTTGCACCCACACCTAGAGTTCATTGAGTACATCTGTCCATCCAGCCCTGCAAGGTCTGCACCGAGATCTTCAGTCAATCCAGCTCTGCCTGACACAGCTTTTTCCCAAGGACCTGCAAGCAGCTGGGCACAACATGCTCTTTAATCCATTCAAAGTAGTCTTTTGAGCATAAGAAGACATATTCCTGAGCAGAGACACAGGAGGATTCCTTTTCCACACACTTTATTTACAACAGTCTCCTGTCCCTGGGCTTCCAAGCTACAGTTCCCTTCAGAGGAAGGTGCTGCATTGCTTGGATGAGACCAGGGGAATAGTCACATAGAAATATTCAACAAAGATGGTGTTTTTACAGATAGAGTTAGTGGAAGAAAAGCTATTCTGGGACTTGGCAATGCTGTGGAGGCTTCAGAACTTAGAGCATAGACTTACCCCTGGGATGCAGCAGCAGGGCCAGCAGGATGCTGCCTGTCCCTGTCCCAGCCCAGCAGAAAGGACAGGTACCCGCGTCCAGTATGGAGCTGAGGCTCCTCCAGCTGCACACCTGGAAGTTCTGGAGGTGTGGGACAGCCCTGCCCCACTGCTGGGAGTGGCAGCCCCACGTCTCCAGCTGCAGGCAGGATCCAGCTACACACGTAGATGTGCAGTGCAGGTAGCACAGACCCTGCCAGGCACCCAGAGAACTGTGGCTCTTGAAGGCTGTGGCACAGGTGTCCTGATTTACAGTTTATGAAGAGCAGCTGTGATCTCTGGTACCTTTTTTTGGGGGGAGAAAATCTGTAGTTTCAACCATGGAATACTGACAGACAGTGATGGCCTTCCAGTACCTGAAGGGAGCTAACAAGAAAGATGGAGACTATTTACAAGGACCTGGAGTGACAGGACAAGGGGGAATGTCTTCACGCTGATAGAGGGCAGGGTTAAACATTAGGAATAAACTTTTCCTGTGAGGGTGGTGAGGCCCTGGCACAGGTTGCCCAGAGAAGCTGTGGCTGCCCCATCCCTGGAAGTGTTCAAGGGTTGGAAGGGGCTCAGAGCAACCTGGTCTAGTGGGAGGCGTCCCTGCCCACATGGCAGGGGGCTGGAAGGGGATGACCTTTAAGGTCTGTTGCCCCCCAGACCAGCCCGGGATTCCCTGACCCCGCCGGGATTGCGGGAGCGGCCCCGCAGCGCGTCCCACTCGCGCTGCCCCGCGGGGCAGGTGCGGGGCGGGAGCGCCTCAAACGCCGCCCGGGCTCCCTCCCACCGGCACGGCCGACCCTGAAACACCTCCCGGACGATTTACCTCTTGCCAATCTCTCCCCAAATCCTGCTGCCCCCTGCCGCTGCTGGCAGACCATCACAAGTCTCTCCTGCGCGCTCTGGCTGCACAAAGACTGAAAGTGCTCTCGAGTACGTGCCAAGCCCTTCCCCGTTAGGAATCAGTCCTCACACACAGGTCTACAAAGACACCTGGAAGTTCACGTCCTCAGGGTCCAGGAGAGTGTCCTGTTTCTCCTTGCTTTCCTCCTGGTGCACATGGTACCACCGTTCAGCAAACTGCACTGCATCGTGGATGCTGTGGAAAGCCAGCTGACCCCCACTGCCTGTCTCGCCTGCCCAGCCTCCCTCCCTGAGGCGGTGGCGGATGGAGGGGTTGCAGTTGGCCAAGAGCACCTGGACACCAATCTTCTTATAGTCATGGTGTGTCTCCTTTAGCACAGAGAGACCCACAGTATCTATGAACTGCATTGCCCCACAGTCAAGGATTAAGGTGTGCATATCTATGGAGGGAGGACGGGCATCTGGTGGAGGCTTCTCAGCCCTTTTCTTGGCCTGTTTCAGGCAGTCACACCCAGTGCCCAAAAAGCTCTTTCTGTTGCCTGTCTCTGTGTCTGCCTGGGCCCCCACCCTTTGGTGTTTAGCAGCCAGCAGAATAGGATTTACCCCAGTTCTCTGATACAGAACAGTCTTGAAATAGTCCCTGTTGGCGTAGTAGAGGGACGACTCGAAGCGGAAGATTTTGATGTTGGCGATGCTGCTGAGCTGCTTGTAAGTGGACTGGTCCTCGTAGATCTCCGTGTTGCTGACCTTGCCCAGGAGCGTGGCCCTGGGTCTCTGCGTGCGGAAGATGATGCAGAGCAGAGCGACACAGACGCCCACGAGGAGCCCGATCTCTGTGGTGATCAGGGTGGAGCACAGCATGGTCACCCACCACACCACCGTGTCCAGCCTGCTGAGCCGCCACATCCGGGGGGTGTCACGGAACTTCCTCAGGCCCCCCCGCAGGTTGACGATGGTGACCACCCCCAGGATGGAGGTCTGCAGCGAGTAGAAGAGCGGGGCGATCCACAGCAGCACCAGCAGCAGCACCAGGGAGGTGACCAGGCCAGAGATCTGGGTCTGGGTCCCCGTGGACTCCTTCAGCAGAGTCTTGGTCAGGGCTGCAGAGCTGGCAAAGCAGTAGAAGAAGGAAGGGATCAGGTTGCACATGCCGATGGCGATCATCTCCTGGTTGGCACGGACAGTGTAGCCGTGCTTTTTGCCAAAGATTTCTGCCAGGGAGACAGTCATGGCAAAGCCAATAATAGCAATGGGCAGAGCATCAACTGCCAGGCTGGGAAACAGGTTTATATCTGGTACAGTGGGTTTCCTGAAACCAGTGGGGATATCCCCACAAACAGCAGACTTGTATCGCTCCTCGAAGTTGAAGTAGTGAGATATGACTGTGGCTACAATGACCACCAGCAGCTCTATGGGGAACGGGGCCTTCATCTTCTCCTTGTACCATTCATTGATCTCCTTGACAGGCACTATGATGGCCAAAGCAACCAGGCTGGTGACCAGGTCACAGATGTTGGTGTTCTGAATGTATCTGAAAAGGTCAATCCAGGTCAGGATGAATGACCCCACCCCTTCGTGACGAGGGATTTTCAGTCCCAGGAGATACTTCATCTGGGAGGTGATAATGGTGAGGCTGGAGCCAGTCACAAAGCCACCAAGGAGAGGTTCTGAAAGGTAGACAGCCACAAATCCCAGCTGTAAAACCCCCAGCAGGATCTGAAAAGAAAGCAGTCATACATTTAGCATGGATGAGAAGGGCTGGAAGAGGTCAGTTTGCTTCCAGGTTAGCAGCTTTGGCTACTCTGTCTGATGAGCATTCAGTGTAAGGCAGAGAACTTTGTCTTCAGTAGTTAATCTGGCATATGAAAAATTAAAGAGACCTACCTCTAACACCTGTCTGTGGCTATAGGGATGCCCTACAAAGAAGTCTACGAGGTCCCTGTTGCTGCCTCCCTAGAAGCAATAGAGAATCCAGGCAGCAGCCCCACCAAAGCAGCTCTGAGTATCACTCGATGGCATAAAACCATTGTGAGGCTCTAAATTTTAGTTGTCCCAGTGAAAAAACCTGGAGCTGTTCAGTAACAGCTAAGCTGAGGCAGTGGGGACACTGCCAGGGGGCATGGCAGGGTCCTTGAGGGTGGTTCTTACCAGCCCCAAATCTGCTCTAAGCTTCCCAGCTCCAGGACTGGGGTGGTGGGAAAGTGGTTCACAGTTCCTCTTCTCCCTTGCTGTGTCTGATAATGAGGATGTTTCAGACACATTCAAGGATCTGGGCTATCACATGGGGGAAACAAAACCCCCAACTCGGCCGTGTTTGCACTTTTTAAAACCATTCCATTCACAGGGATTCAAGGATGTTGGGGTCTAGTCACACCAGGAAGTGTTTCTCACAACTTACAAGTCCAAACCAAGACTGGAGCTTAGAGATATCTTCAGCTCAGAGAAATTCCTATCAGGGAAAGGACAGAGAGCAAACATTTGTACCTGGTAGAGACCAACCAGAAAGCTTAAGGAAAGGGCCACGGTGATGGCGTAGCAGCTCCTGTCGCAGGCAGCAGTGCCGTTGCCAGTGGAGGTGGCGTTGCCCAGCGCTGGGGAGCTGTAGGAGCCGTCATCGTCGTACCCGCGAGCCGCAGGTGCCGGTTCACGCTCTGCCCCACCATCAGGCACAGCACCCCGAAGGAGCCCACGCAGTTGTGCCGCGAAGTGGCCATGGCGACGTAGATGATGTTGCAGAAGAAGTTGGTGTAGATCCCGTAGATGGGATCCTGGCTGGCTAAAAGGGAGTAAGAGACGGACTGAGGGATGGTGACTATCCCCACCAGGAGCCCAGATATGACGTCCCCAAGCAACTGTGTCCTGATGTTGTAGCGGGGCAGCCAGTCCAGCACTGGGAACAGCCGGCACAGGAAGGTGATGACGGTTTGATGACTGCATGTGCAGACCTCTCTGGCTTTCTTTAGGATGAGTTCCTTGGCACTGAAGTCCACGGGCTCATACTCCTCCAACTCCACGTGGATGAAATTGGCAGGAGTCTCCTGTGGTGCTGGGAAGTCCAGTGTGTCTTTGCTTGGTTCAGACTTGTGGATGGACGTGTCCTCCATGGCACCGGGAGAGCTAAGGCAGGAGAGCAGGCAATCATGAAGGGCTGCAGTCACCTACACAATTTGCTTTGCTTTGTTTAGCTCCAGGGCTCATGCAGATTGCATGGATAAATAGATAAATAAACGAAAATAACCTCAGACAAACCAAACAGAAAAACACTTTCCCATAGTTCTGATTGATTTGTTTGTTGTCATTTACCTGATTAACCACAACCCTGAGCCTGTGGTTTAAATTGCATTCACGGTTGCAGAGGTGCCCACATCAGGGGCAGAACTACAGAGACTCCCACGCTCCTTCCTAACATACCTCTTGTTTTGAAACAGGACAGCAGAATGGGTTAAAATCAGACAATATTATTTCACTGAAACTAAAACTCCTTCAGGAACTCTGTGTTTCTACTTAAGGAAAAACTATTTTGAAAATGTTGAGATATTCCAAGTGATACTTTTAGGAATGCAGCATGTGGGTAAGGGAGGTGATTTGCAAAATAATTTTTTCCTTCAACATTACAAAATTGTAAATTACATTGCTGGCTTGCACCAAACATGCACATCACAGGGGCTCCCATCTGCAGAATGAAATCATCCAACTTTTTCAGTCTGGTTGATTAACAGAGACACTTTCCAGAGCTAGTCCAAGCTTTCCAGCCAAAATGCAGCTGCTACAAAAGGTACCTTTTTGTCAAAGCTGAACAGCATACCCAGAGAAAAATGCTCCTGAGAGGAGACCCAGAGTGACTGCAGTTTGGAAATTGAACTGGGATGATGAGAAATCCCATTCCCCTGCCCTACACATTCATTTCACACCACTAATCCCAGCCCAAATCTCTTACCTCTGGCTGCCAGGAGTTACACTGGGAGTTTCCTTACTACCTGGAGCTTCTCCCCCTGTGGACAGACCTGTCTCCACCTTGCAGCACACCCTGAACACCCCGAACAGAGGAAGCACAAGGCTGACAACTGTGAACCTGGACCATGTGCTGCTTCCCCTGAGATCTGAGTTAATCAGCCAAGCCCTTTTATCTCGCTCCAGTCGATGAAGAAGGTGCAGCCTGACAAACAGAGCTGTATTTTGAAAACAAACATTATTCCAAGACAGTATTTTAGATGGAAACTTGCTCTGGGCATGAAGAATGATTGAAGGAGTTTACAGAAGCGCTCCTGTAGATTAACAGTATTGCTGGTATCTGGAGAAGTGTTTACTAAACAAGGGGAACAACCCAAAGAAACTGCTCTGTCCCTCTCTGAACTGAGTGAGCACAAGTCCCGCTGGGCTTCTCCACACAGGTTTTCACCTATTCTGGACAAGCTTTTGTGCCAAAAACCAGAACTTGTTCCAGAATGACTTTTCTGTCCTGGTGGTTCTTCCACAGCACCCACCACAGAGGCTCTGTAAAACAGAGGTTTGTCTGCACAGACAACAAAGGTGTGATGACACAGGTTATTTCTAGTTAGACAGAAGGACTCAGTATGTGTGGAATCTGCACAATCCACATTTTGCACATGCCTTTTAGAGACATAACAAGGGATAACAAGGGGATTTTGCAGTGCAAAATAAGCACAATTCCATAAAGTGCAGGGTTGATTATTTTCTGTAGGTAAAGGCAAACAATTGCACTAGCAGCCAGGAAAAAAGGGAATGTCTCATCATCCTGAATGGAAACAGCAGCCTCATAAGTACCAGCTGTAACTGTGCTGCCCTTATGATCCCTGCCAACAACCTACATCAGACCTCTGAGCACACACACCCCTTCCCCTCCTACTCCCCTCCTTTTCCATCTCTCTTTCACTGACCTAGTCTCTTAGATTTTGCTGGATATGCCATTGTCCCATGCAGTTGGATAAATGCCTGGCAGTCAGGCAGCTTGACCTCTGCCTCTGCTCCTGGCACTGACTGTTCTGGGACTGGGGAGAGGGCTGAGAGCCCATGGCACTGTAGAGATGGTGTGGGGTCTGGAGAAGTGGCATTTTCACAAGGTTTTTATACAGATGCTGGGGAGACACCCGGAGGGAAGGGGAAGACCAGCATTCTGAGCTACATTTATCTCATCAGTGGCAGTCTGGATCTCAGTAATTAGAAGTAAATAAATAAGAAACATCCGTGCTCTCTGGCAGCAGGAGAAAATGAGAGCACATGGCAGGGAGGCAGCTGTTCAATTTATTTATCTATTTATATCAATTCTTTATTCTCTGCCATTCCTCCACAGCTCATGTATTTTAAGGTGCATTGTTGATAGCTCCCTTTCCCTTCTCCCAGTAATCGACTGTCTCTCTCCTTGGCCTTGTCATTCCTCCTGTCCATAAAAGACGATACTTCCATATACTTTATAATTGTTCCTACTTACAGCTCATTTTGTGTCTTGGCCTGGATGATGTGGTCTCTACTTTTCCATCTTCTTCTTTAGCAAATGACCCAAAATTCCATTTTCTGTATGAATCCTTCATCTTGAAATTCAGTCACTGAAGAACTGATGAGTCAGTCATTGAAGAGCTGGCCAGGCTGGTCTTTTAAGTCAGCTTGTTCACTGGGATGAAACACATCTGAGCACAATCCATCTTTGGGATTTGTTCTTATTTAGGAAGGTCCAGTTCTAGACTCTGATTTGTCCACCATGAAAATGGGACAAAGCATTTTTTTCATTTGTGACAGTATCTGTGTTACCTTTAACTTGCACCCTGCCATTGCTGCCTGTTGCTGCTTTTCCTTCCCAATTCCATTTTCATTTAAATATTCTGGTACTCTTTTGTTTGTTATGATTTCCTTTACCACCTGATATAGTTTGGTAAGCCTTGATAAAGCCATGCTCTTCCACTTCTCCAAGGTAAGCAGCTCTTCTTCCCATTCCTTCTGTCTCCAAACCTCCCCAGCTATCCATCCTTACAATTTTTTTCTCCCTTTTCCTGTGTGTAAATTCCCCATTGCTTTTGTATACTTAGCTTTAAAATATTCCATATTTTCCCTGCAACTCTCAAGCTCCTTGTCCCATCTGGCTTTCCAGTGTGTTTGGCTCTCTGCATGGTCCTCTCTGTGCTGGAAATTCCAGCTGTGGGCACTGAGGAGAGGCCACTTTCTGTTATCCATCCCGGCAGAGAGGATGTAGGAACACACTTGGTGACACCGTGCACATCCCTGAAATTACTTTTACTGTGTGAGGTGAGGCAAGGGCAGAAACTGCAAACATTTCACATTTCCCCTGGAAAACGTGTAGCAGAAAGCTTAAAAAAAGAAAACCACAGCAGAACTTCAGGTGACCTTGAGCTGGCCAAGGCTGTGCTGCCTTCCAAAGCAAGGTCACTACAGCTGACTGCTGAAACTGCTTGTTTTCAAATGCATCTTTCAGTGTTGTTCTCTATTGCCACTATAAACTCATTTAACTGTTTAGCTCCATCCTGGGCAGGGCTGGGCTGGACAGATGGTTTTATCTTGAACGATGCAAGTGCAGACAGGACGTTGCCTGCAGTAACACGGCACCCTCTGGTTTTCAGATGAACAGAAAGCATGAAATCCAGAGTTTTCATTCCTGGCATGGTATGTGACCAATTTAACATCCATCTATGCCACGGCCACTGCAGCCAGCTGGACACAGAGCAGTGAAAACAAACTCCAGGTACAAGGTAAATGCAGTAGTGACCTATTGCAGTTTTCTATCCTAAAGAGCTAACTGCACTGCACAAGGATTTTTGATTTAAGGTTTGTAAATATCCTTATGACTATTTGGCTTCTGAAAGTCTCTGAAGTAACATCCTACATGTCTTGGCTCCATAAACAGGCCATAAACTGGTAGTACATGGATGCACCCCACTGCTCCAATTACTCAGATCACATGCAATGTTATTTAAATAAAAAGGATAATGATGCCAGGTATCTAAGAGAGATGCTTTTCCTTATCTTCAGATTTGGGACTTCACAGTATTTTCAGATGGCTGCTGGTTCAGTTCTGCTTGGAAATGTATTTTCAATATGTAGACATCTGCAAAACATCATCCTTTTTAAGGGGAGAACAAGAAAAAGGGGACAAACCCAGAATTGGTCCCACTGCTGAGATATGGCAAAATGCAACAAAGGCACCTGAGGACAAAAATGCTGAACAGAACCTCTCCAGCGGTTTTTTGGAAAGCAACTATTCATGTTTCTGCAAGAGATAACACATCCCAGAAAACAGAACAGCTTTTGCAGCCTCCTGTTATTTGGCAGGGCAGTTTGTGCTACCACACAGGGGTCACAGAAGAGTTTGCAGGGCAAAGAAAACACAAATACTGTGAGGCCAAAAGTGTCACTGACCCTTTGACTGCACGTGGAAATGCAATCACACCACTCTGACATTTGAGAGGGACCAAGTAACCTACAAATAAACACTGATAAAGAGCATCTTCACTCCTAGAAGCTGGAAAAAAAGATCACTTCCAACCACATCAGCTAGAGGATTCAAGGAGCACTCCTCATTTATGTAACAAGGATGAAAAAAACTCCTTGCCAACTTTTGCAGCACTTTGTTGCTGTCTCCGTGTATTTCCCTGCACAACAAACATCCAGTGCTTTTGACTATTTCCTAAATTATCAATATAATCATAGAAAATGCTGTAACAGATCTGCAGACAGATTAAACTGATTACAGATGAATACAGTGCAATAAAAACGTGGAGACATTTCCCTCTCATACTGAACTGGCAATCAGCCCAGGCTATTTGGCATCATTTAGGATGCTGAGGCCCTGGCACAGGCTGCCCAGAGAAGCTGTGGTTGCCCCATCCCTGGAAGTGTCCAAGGCCAGGCTGGACTGAGCTCTGAGCCACCTGGTCTAGTGGAAGGTGTCCCTGCCCATGACAGGAGGGTGGGACCAGATGATCTTTAAGGTCCCCTCCAACCCAGTAAAGAATTCTTTCCTAATACCTAATCTAATCTCCAACTACCTGCTGTGTGACAATACTGGACCTGCTATGATACTTCAAACAGAAGGAGAAGCTTTTCTCCACAGCTCGAAGGTCAGGACAGACTGTCACAGGGTGTGGTGGGAGTCAACAGGTTCAAGAAAAGGGGTTAGGAAGTGTCATGAAGTGCTGAAAGAGCTCTAACAAAGGTCTCAGTGCTCAGGAAATTTCTAACCTGCTGCTTTCCAGGTGCTGGGAGGGCTTTGCATGAGCTGGACGCCTGGGACATTTTTCCCAAGGAGACTCCAACCAGGCTGTGACCAGCTCCAGCTGGGAGGGTCCCATCTAGTACAGGAGTGTGTATGGCAAGAGTTTGTTATTGTCAGGTGAGGCAGAGCCTTAAACAGCACAGGTGAAAGGTGCTGCTGACCGAATCTGGTTATCTCAGCTCTGTATCAGCAGGAACCAGACTCATTTTGCTCAAGGCAATGCCTGTCCTCTGCCTTTCAAGAGAAAGCACTGCAGGCATTCCCCGGAATTGAGTGTTCCTACCACTCTGTTGGCACCAACACAAAAATTGCAGCATGTGCACTGAGGTCTCCTAAGGTAAAAGGTATCCTCAGGTAAAAGCTGAGCCATGCTGGGTCATAAAAATCTTTTCCATAATCCAGGGACATGTAGTATGCAAGACAATGTTCACAGTAACTGCCCAGAACTGCATGCAGGGCTGTTCTCAGTTTTGCTCTGACTCTTACTGGCTATGACCTGAACAAGGCATATAACCTGGTATAGAATCACAGAATCAAAGGGAAGGGACCCACAAGGATCATCAAAGTCCAGCTTCTGGCCCTGCACAGGACACCCTAACAACCTCACCCTGTCCCTGAGAGCGTTGTCCAAACACTCCTTGAGCTCTGTCAGCCGTGGGGCCGTGACCACTGCCCTGGGGAGCCTGTTCAGTGCCAACCACCCGCTGGGGGAAGAACCTTTTCCCAATACCCAGCCTAACCCTCCCTGACACAGTTTCATATTACGTCAAGTAACACTGAAATACATGGCAGCAATTTCGTAAGGCTGAGTATGCAATACCAGGAACTGTAACTACACATATTGTAAAGTACAAGTAGCATCAAACCTGATCAACTCTGTCAATTCTTTCATTTTAGGAATATGGTCCTGGCCCATAGCAGGATGCTGCTCCCTGGCACATGGCACATCACTGTCACCACATAGCTGATTACCTGTTATTAATCCTGAAACAAACCACAGCCAGGTTGCACAGAGCAGCAGGGTCAGAACAAGGTGAAAGCCACAAACCATCAATCAGTGCCCTGGTTTACGTGGGCAGGGAACCTCCCCGAGTGCCTGTGTGTGTGCAACATGGTGTGGCAGAACAGAGCACACCGCTGTGTGTACACTGTGTGTTGCAACAGGGACCCTGTCGGGGAAACAGGGACTGGGGACTCACCAAACACATGAGGTTCTTCTTTCCAAAACTTACTTTGCAGCATCTTCTGAGGCAGAGCAGTGGATATTGTCTAATCAGCTTCAGGAAAGCTTCTGACACCTTCTCTCAGCAAACTCAGGCAGTGTGGGCTGGATGGGTGGACAGCGAGGTGGATTGAGACCTGGCTGAATGGCAGATCCCAGAGGATTGTAATCAGGGTCTAGTTTGGAGGCCTGTCACTCGTGGTGTCCACCAGGGTTCAGTACTGGGCCCAGTATTGTTTAACTTACTCATCAGTGACTCAGATGAAGGGGTCAGTGCCTCCTCAGCAAGTTCACTCACACAAAGCTGGAGGAGTGGCTGATACCCAGAGGGCTGTGCAGCCCTTCAGAGGGACCTCGAGAGGTTGGAGAGACAGAGACAGGCAGAGAGGAACCATCTCAAATTCAACAAGGGCAAATGCCTGCTCCTGGGGAGGAACAACCCTGGGCACTGGTACAAGCTGGGAGCTGACCTGCTGAGGAGCAGCTCTGCCGGGAAGGACCTGGGGGTCCTGTTGGATAACATGTTGTCCATGACCAGCAGTGTGTCCTGGGGGCCAAGGCCAAAGGGATTGTGGTGTGCATTAGGAACAGCATTGCCAGCAAGTCAGGGAGGTGATGCTGGTCCTCTGCTCAGCCCTGGTGAGGCACATCTGCAGTGCTGTGTCCAGTTCTGGGCTCCTCAGGACAGGAGGGACATGGAGCTCCTGGAGCAGGTCCAGCAGGAGGCTGTGGAGATGATGAAGGGACTGGAGCATCTCCCTGAGGAGGAAAGGCTGAGGGAGCTGGGGCTGTTCAGCCCCGAGAGGAGACACTGAGAGGGGACCCCATCAATGTGTGTCAGTGTCTGCAGAGAGGGTCAGAGGATGGACCAGGCTCTGCTTGGGGGGCCCAGCAATGGGACAAGAGGCAACGGGCAGGAACCGATGCCCAGGAAGTTCCACCTGAACGTGTGGAAGAATTTCTTTACTGTGCAAGTCACAAACTGCCCAGAGAGGGTGTGGAGCCTCCCTCACTGGGAATAGTCCAGAACCATCAGGAGACAATCCTGTGCCACGTGCTCTGGGATGACCCTGCTGGAGCAGGGACGTGGGACCAGGTGACCCACTGGGGTCCCTTCCAACCTGTCCCGTCCTGTGACTCTGTGATGAAGCAGACATCGAACAACAGAAAAAACCATAAATACCATCTTTTAATTGTGCTAAAGAAACCCAACGATTTTACCATATTTGATAGAAAATTCTCACGCTAACAAATCTTCTACAATGGCAATAAGGCACATTAGCATTTAAAAATAACAATTGATACAGCTCAGACAGAGAGTGTAAAGGAGAGCCAACACCACACAGAGGACAGACACCAGAAGTGATGGCAGAACACAGATGACTACTGAAAAATAAAACTGATGCCACCGAATAAGGTGACTTTTTATAGATACTATATGACCTTCCCACATTTTATTCAAATAACACATAAACTATTTTGTAAACTGGTCAGCTGACCAATGTGATCTGTTCCAGTCCTGAGGTCCTGTTTAGTTAAACTGATTCTCCAACAAAATCCAGGCAAAGTTTGCCATTTGGTTTGTTCTGCAAAAGATTACGTCACAATTATCTAGCATTATTCTGAATTTAAAATAATTCAAAAAAATCATACCCCAGAATATACCAAGGTACTAGAGATGATAGTCAGGGACAACTCATGTGCTTTTCAGAAAGAGGGACATTTTACCTCTCCTTAACCATGTTTCATTTGCATTTCAAATACACATAAAATTTACTTAAGTAAAAAATCAGATATCAAAAACTTGGACCCAAGTTCAGCAAAATGTATCTCCTATCTTCTTGTGGAATATTGGAATCATTTGGGAGCTGGACTAAGAGCTAAGTGCTTTCAGAGCTGGAGAGAGCTGCAATTCAAATATTTTTAGCAGTAAATTTACCTCAATGGAGATTTGATTCGCCATTCAATGCTGAAATATTTTGTGCATTTGCACATTAAAGAATATCAATATGCCTCAGCCTACAGAATCTCTAGAAAATAAAATAGAAAGGTACTAATTATACTATGAACTAAATATATATATATATATATTAAATATTTGTCATTTTACCTAACGAGAGGCCTCATTTTTAGCATTGCAAGAATCTCAAATGAAAAAGCAAGACTCAATTATTTCCACTTTAGGCAGAATTTGACTGAAATAGTAAAGATCAGGTTGATTTTCACATGAGCAGCTGATCCTACAAAGGCTTATAAACACGATGACCCAGTGCAAGTAATTCTTGGGATTTACCAAGGTCATTCACAGTGCAAAGTCTGCACTAAAGACATGACTCCCTTTGTCTATGCCAGCAGAGAAATGCAAAGCCCTTCTCCTGTGGAGAGTTATATCAATACTGAATGAAGTCTCACAACAGCATCCTACACTGAGACTCAGCAGAACAAACTTAAGCTACACAAAGTACCTTGTATGGCTTGAGCAGCAGAGCAATATTTGCATCACAGCTTCACTGGCTCAGCCATGCCAATGAAAAAAAAATATTTAAAAATGTAAATCACCTCAAGCATCTAAATCACTTTCCTAAAGCATGTTAAAAAAAAAAAAAAAAAAACCAAAAAACACATAGCAGAAGATAATGCCCTGAAAGAAACTATTTGCCTGAAGAGTTTCACCCTCAGCTAGGATCTAGGACTGAGCACAGGCAGAGTTCAGGGCCAACCTCAGCACAAGGTTGTGGGAGGCAGCTGGGCACGGAGCAGCTTAAAACCCCAGTGTGGCAGCCAGGCTGTTCTCCTGCCTGCAATACCTCACCTCTGCTTTTCAAACCCATCGTCAGTGGATTTGAATGTCTCCTGACAAAAGCCAGCAGGAGTGTGAGCAGAGACCAAAGCCGTGGCTGTGGGCTTTCTCCCAAGAGAGACACCCTTCCATGGGCAAGGAGCACAGTCGTGGCCAGCTCTGCTGCCCTGCCTGGGACAGACTGAGATTAAAATTAGACCAAACAAAATTAACCATAAAACCAGAAACCCCTTACATACGTATCTCAGGACAGTGACTGAGGAGGAATTGAGCAGAGCACTGAGGAACCAGGTCCTGTGTTGTTATTACACTCCCTGTAAGAAAGGCACAAGGCTGCACAACACTGTGTCCCAGCAGCCCCGTAATAAAGACACCTTCAGGTTAATTTGTCATTCCTGGACAGCACCAGCAGTTGCACAAACCCTTTCCCAGTCCCAAACCAGGCTGAGGCTCCAGCATGGGGACACACACACAGAAGTGCTCCCCTATCAGCTGCCCATAGCTCCATTTCTCTCGGTCCCAGCACCCACAGGACTCATGGGGTTTTGGGGTTGTTTTCCTCTCTCTGTTCAGGAGCTTTAGCCTTATCAAAAGATCTGCCATGGAAACTGAGCAGCAGGTCACATATAACAGCAATATACACAAAGCCAATGATTCTTCTATTTACAGTCAACCATATGCAATGTCTTGCAGCAAAACACAGAAAGAAGCACAAGAAGTTGGAGGTGGGTCTTGCAGTGAATTAGGAGCAGATGGAACTGCAATGGCTCACAAGGAAACAAGGATCACTAAATCACACAAGACTAAGGTTGGCAATGTCATTATGAATCCAAAAATAAGCACCACTGAGATGCCCTTCCCTGTTTTGTGAAGTGGACCTAAAATGGTTTTTTTGTCAAAACACTCACACAAGTGAAACATTTATTAGTTCAGCTGCCACGTTAAGAGGAACTGACACTACTATCTATAGCAGCAACACAGGAGATAAAAAGAGCCTGACATTTAGCAGGAGATTGCTAAAGACATTTCTAGGAGTCTTTAGTACAGCTGAGGCTGTGAGTGTTAATTTCCATAATGCCATGTTGTTGTCACTAATGAACATACTAATGATCTCTTAATTCTTCACTTAGACTGATAATTGCTGATTAGTACCTTTGGGAATGAAGATAAAATGATTTATACGATCTTCCAGTCTAGCTTGGGGTTCTGAATTTTGCACCTGGGAGGAACATTCCTGTTCTGGACAGATGTATAAACCCCAAACCAATTGTTCTGAGAGTTGCTCTTCCTATAGTTTACATTCAGCTGTGAGGTAGGGAGGAGAGAAGGCAGTGAGATTTCCCCTTAAAAAATCCGGTACATGTTCTCCACTGTTCTTTTAGAACAGTAGAAGGCAGAAGAGCCCTTTCCAGGACAGAAGCAGGAGTATCACAAAAGCATAACTGGATATATACAGCTGCTGCAACCATCACACAGCAGCAAAAGATATATATAGATATATATGTACACACACACATAGATACATACACATATAGATGTGTGTGGATACATATAAAATTCCTTTACAAAACAAATTCTTTAGGGCAAAAGCTTTCAATCAGTGGTCCCCGATTCCTAAAGATGAAATTGGATTACTTTAAATGGTCCACAAACATATTCAAGCAAAATGTGCTTCTTGCCAGTAGGCTTAAATCAGATTCATGTCACTCCTAAAAGGTTATTCTAGGCCTAGAAGGAAAATGGCTGGAATCCACTGTTCTAAGAAATTCCAGCCATAATAAGCTCTAATCTGCAGTTAATTCCAAAGGATTCTATTACACTGAACTCTCTGGCAAATGGCATTTATTTTGGTTCCCTTTTAAACAGGGCAGTGTGCATTAATATAGACTTATTAATACTATGACCTCTGGATGTTATCTTAAATAAGAACATTAGAAGTTTTTCTTTGGGTTGCCTGGCTGTTCTTGCTGTTGCATTTTAGTTCTTGTGTTTTCCTTTATACAATTTGGAGGCTGCATCGCCAGTCATGGCCGTGCAAACAGCACTGAGGCCAAATACAATGTGCTCTAGTTAAACATAAATCACTTCAGTACATCTTTTAGCTATAATGCAATTTAATTATTGGGAAAATCAATTCATGGCTGTTTTATTGTGCTTCTATGTAAATAAATACCCAGGAGCTACAAATATCCATTCTGATAGCTGTGGAAAGTACTAACATTGAAATTAACAATTTCTACCTGACACAGGTAGAAATGGATTTGAAAAAACATCACGTAATAAAGAAAGGTTTTCCCCTTCTCAGTTAGAATTTGGCTACACAAACCTGTGCATGGTCACAGATCAAAAGATTTCCACCTGGGCAGTGTGGAAAGAGTACGGGAGAGAGCAAAAACCACCCAGAGAAATTCCTACTTGACTTCTGTCCTACTTGTGGCTGACCTGCCTTGAAGTCCCCTGGCCAGCTGCTCCTTCCTCCTCTCCCTCTCTCCTGCCCATGCCTGAGGGAAAAAGGGGTGAGAACAAGTAGCTGCAGGTAGGCAGGACAATTGACAATAACAACATGCTGCAATTTTTCATCAGGGCTTTTTCATCAGATCTCAGTTATATGCTCCTTTTCAATATGTGCTACAGCCACCTCCCACCTCCCCCAGTATTTCTACAGGCTGCTATGATGTCCTAAAAAAATGTAGCATGTTCAGTTAACATATGAAGGACTCATCTTCCTGCTGTCTCATCCTTCTCTTGAGGTCCCATCTCCTAGAGTGAAGTGTTATGTGACATTGAGCTTTCATAGAAAGAAGAGAATAGTTACTGGTCCTTGATCAGAAAAAGGAAAGAAGAAAACAGTCTAAACTCAAAATATATTTCAATTTAGTAAACGTTTCACAATTCATATTGTATTTTATGCCTTTTTTGACTCCTGACTTATTATTTTTGAATGATTAAGGATGAGAATATTGTCAGTATACAGCACCCTTCCCTTTTAAAAGCTGTGAAGCACCTGCAGTTCAGGCTGTAAACTCCCCTGGGAGAAAGTACCATCTTCCAAAGATGTGCTGTGTATAGCTGGTACTCAGCAAACACTCTTAATCTCTCCATTCTGCCTCCATAATTGTACTCTATCACTGTAAGGAAAGAGAACCTCTTCCTACCCAGTGCTTGGATTTCAGCATGAAGAACAGGCACTCTTCACTGTTCTGAATAATTTAAAATCCAAGTAAAAAGTTCTGTTTACGCTGACCTGGTGAAACAAAGTTCAGCAAAGAATTTTCTTGGCTCCTTTTCCAATGACTGTATTTCTTGGTCTGTGCATTCCCCTTGCATCAAGTCCATGGCAGAGCACGTAGAGTCAATAAAACCTGCATTCACACCCAAAGTCTGTGTGACATGAACACATTTGGACAGATGTTGGATAATCTATTTGGCCCTTTCCATTTTGGTGCCTGTGATTCTGTTTGCCTGCCATATAAAACTGCCTATAAGGGACTGTTTTCTGCTGAAACTCAAGAACTAGATATTTTCCATATCTAAAGTCCACAATTCTAAAGAGCTCCTAAATATTAGGAAAACAACTGACTGACCATAAGGATGAACCAGATTTCTAAGCAGTCACCTCTGAATAAAAACCATTAAAATCAAACTAGAGAGGTAACATTTCCATAGGCACAGGCACATAAAGGCCTGGAAACACAAGATAACCATGCCCCCATGGCCTGGCTGCATTAGGAGACAGTGCCAAAGCCTCTGGAGGTGACAGATGGTTGGTTAGAAGCTATTCATGAAGACCTTTTCATGCATGTTTAGATTTGATTTATCTACCTGTACCAAATTCAGGAAGGTTAAAAAAGCAAACACTGCACAGTAAAGACCAGAGCAAACAGTCCCTGTCAGCCATTCCTTAGCAAACATAACGGTGTGGAGATGGAAAATCAGTGCCAGAATGAGGGACAAGAAATGAGTTGCCTTGGTCTTCAGCTGGACAGGATGATCAGACTACTTCAGAATCCTGCCCCATCCTCAAAGACAGGGTTGCAAGAAAGACTTCAATGCTGATGATCAAAACTTAGAGGGGAACTGAGACACTGAAAGTTCAAGAGAGAAGAGAAATGAGATGAACAACCATATGAAAACTCTTAGAGTCACAGATTAGCCATAATCAAGTTAAGAACTGCCTTCATTCAGTACCGCCTATTGAATCACTGCACCTGGCAGGCAAATTTAAAGCATCCAAGCAGACTGCACAATAACCAGTGTGCTAAGAACCACCCAGCCTGAGTGCACATACACTGATTGCATAGATATACAGACCCACAGACAATTTTTCCCAGGCTTTGTTCCAACTTGCTGTCTCACCACAGCTAGTCCGTAGAAGCACTGGTCCCACTGTGCCCCTGGGTGCCCAATGCAAAGTCCACAGCCTGGTGCACACTGTGGAAGAGAAGGTGGTCCTCCCCCTCTTTAAAGAATTCCCCTCGGATCAGGGAACTCCTCACTGAAGGATTGCACTGGGCCAGGAGCACATGGACACCTATCTCCCCGTAGTCCTTGCAGACCTCCTTGAGCGTGCGTATTCCTGCCGTGTCCAGGAACTGCACTGCACAACAGTCAATCACTATGGTGTGAAACCCCAGAGGTTCAGACACAAAATCCATGGAGATGCTGGTCTGGTTGTCACCAGAACCCACCTCTTTCTCCCTAAGCATTCTTTTTGCTGCCTTTTTCTTTGCTGCCTTCACCCAGACTGGGTTGACCCCGGTTTGCTTGTACAGGGTGGATTTGAAGCACTCCTTGTTGATGTAGTAGAGCGGGGCTTCGAAACGGAACACCACGACCCCTGGCTTGGTTTGCAGGTTCTTGTAAGCAGACAGGGATTCGTAGGTCTCGGACTCTGCCACCCAGCCAAGCAGCGGTGCCTCCGGCCTCTGAGTTCGGAAGATGACGCAGAGCATGGAGAAGCAAACACCAACCAAAAGACCAATCTCGGTGCTGATGAGTGCTGTGGCTGCCATGGTAACTCCCCAGATCACCGTGTCCACTCTGCTCAGGTGCCACATTTTTGGCAGGTCCTGGAACTTCCGCAGGGCTCCTCTGAGGTTTACGATGGTTATGACGGCAAGGACGCATTTCTGAAGGGAATAAAATAAAGGTGCAATCACAAGGAGGACTAACAGGATTACCAAACTGGTCACCATGCCAGAGACTTGCGTCCTACAGCCTGTGGACTCCTTGACAAGAGTCTTGGCAAGAGCTGCGCTGGTTGTGAAGCAATGGAAGAAGGAGGGAATGATGTTGCAGAAGCCAATGGCATACATTTCCTGGTTGGCCCTCACAGAGTAACCATGCTTCTTGGCAAACATCTCCGAGAGGGAGACCGTGATGGCAAAGCCAATGATAGCGATGGCAACGGCATCCAAAGCCACACTGGGAATGAGGGTCCAGTCTGGAGGGCGGGGTGGCAGAAACCCGGTTGGGATGTGCCCAGAAACGCTCGAGCCATAAGTCTCTTTCAGCTTCCCAAAGTGAGATGCCAGAGTAGCTGCCACAACCACAAATAGTTCAACTGGTATTGGAGCCTTGAGCTTGGATTTAAAACGTTCATTAAGCTCTTTGGCTGGGATAAGCACAAGAAAGCACAAGAAGCTGGTGATGAGATCACAGATGTTTGTCTTGTGTATGTTTTTGAAGATGTTTATCCAGGTGACTATGAGAGAGCCGATGCCTCCGGCCCGTGGAATGTCCAGGCCCAGGAGATACTTGACTTGCGAGGTTAGGACGGTGATGGAGGCGCCCGTGACAAATCCACTCAGCAATGAATCGGAGAGGTACACCGAGACAAAGCCCACTTGAAATAAACCCATGGCCACCTGGAAGGAATCAATCACGCACAACAGGTTAGGACACAAATCTCATGGATTTTGTCAGTGTGGGGCTCTGGAGGGAGCTGCAGTGAAACAAACCTACTGTGCACGGCCCTGGAGGACAAGGCATGGTCTGAGCGTGGAGAAAAGAGTCTCCAGCAATCAAAGCAGGCTTTTTTGGGGGGTTATTCATACTCTGAACCTGTGTTTATTGTTTGCTCACGGGTCCAGCTGTAACTGCTAGTTATCCTGGTGGGGGGAAAAGAAAGCCTGGCAAAAACCCCCATGTTTGAAATGCTGACTGCTTTTCCCATTTCACTCAGTTCTTGTAATCTCTGTGAACTTTGCAGGGATCTAACACTTTTCTAGTGGCCTTTGTCTCTCTTACACTGGAGTTCACAGCCTGCAATAAAACCGTAGCTTATGGTGTAACAGTTGTCCTTTGCACTGCATCAGGTTTGGTGCATCTGACTCAGTATATGAGCTGCAAACTCCTGTGATGTAGATCATATAAAGAGAGATAATTTTTTAGGTGTCTCGCCATTAATTTTTATTAATGCTATTTGAACGGACAAATGTCTTTCACTGGAATGCCTGGTTTTATGGATACCTGCTCTACACGTGCCTCTTCTCACCTGGTAAATGCCCCTTCCTCCTCATCAAACTTCAGGCCAAATGGAGAAAGGACCTTCTCACAGCAATTTGGCAGAAACATTTTAATTCTCCGTGCTGGCCCACAGGGTTGTCTACACTGTTATCTCAAGACTGCAGGCCAGAACTTACAGTTATTAAACTTTCAGAGGTGTCGATTTGATATATCCCTTAGGTAGTTAAGGCAAAAAAAAAAAGAAGGCTGGGATCATGGCTGGGAACTCCATGAGAACCATAAAATACTACTGAAGAGAAGGTAGGACCCGGACTGACAGGAAATCAGCTCAGAGCCAAGTCCTTAAAAAAAAAAAAAAAAAAACCACACACAAAACAACAAAAAACCAACTCCCTTACAGCCTTGGTAATTAAATTAATTCAAGGTTTTTCTAAGTGTTAAACATTAACAATAATTGACATAACCTAATTATGCTGTAGGCAACTGGTGTGAGAAGACTTGGTTTTTATGATTTGATTGTAAAGTTTCTGCTACAAAGAACATGTGATTTTGGTTGGAGCTTCAAAAAAAAATGTGAGGGTGTGAAGACCTATTAGTTGGCCTACAGAGGGACAGCAAGTGGAATATGCCTGACATTCAGAGGGACTGAAGATAAAGTAATCTAGCTTCTTCACATAAAGAAACCTAATTGTACTTACACTTGCAAAGAATATTTAGTGCAATTCACAACTCCAAAACTTCATCCACATGATGAAAAACAAAAATTAGTGCAGATCAGGAGGCCCAGAATATTTCTGAAATTGCTCAACTTGAACTTATAGTACAAGAAAAAGTTCCAGGTTGAGTCTAAAGTCAGTGTTTCACAGCATCACAGGTATGTTTCTTTTCCCCTCCCATACAATTTAATTAGCTATCACCCTGGACATTTAAGAACAAATGAATGTGAACTCACAAACTCAAATACCACAGCTCTGCAGCACCATTAAAACTAACCCCATTCTGGTTAATGCATGACACGCTAAAACAAAGATACCTTCTTTAATTTCAGCAAGCAGTGAATTTTAGGAAGTAAGTAGAGATGGACTGGTGAAATATTATTAATATATTTTATATGGTAATAATTTAAAGTTTCATTTCAAATACATTGTATCCTCTCAGTAGTGTCCTTTCCATACAATGGCATCGGTTTGGCTTTAACTGGGCAAACAGTAAAGTTTTACAAGCACAGTGATAAATAAACTGGAGATCCAATTTCTTTGTTTGTTTTTTTTTGTTAAAAGGCAAATGATTGAAGTTTGGAATTAAGAGCTGTGCACCACATTTTAGCCCAGTGGAATGGGGGGATAAGCTAGAAGCTAGAAACAAAAAGTAAATAGAACTTCAGGCCACAGCAAGGAAGGGGGTGTGCAGACTGTGAGAGCAGTAGGTGGTGTGTGCAGGTCCCTGCAGTCCACAGTAGAGAAGGAATAAAAGCACAAAATGCTGTTAAAAAATGGAAAGCACCCAGAGGAGTTTTCTGCATCACAGTAACTCCAGCCCTGCCCACATCCACTGCCCTGAGACACAGACTGAGGACACGTGCAAACCCAGCAGGGTGTTCACGGGGACAACCACCTAAAGAAGAATTATAACTATTTCCACATCACACCTGTTTGTCCACCCTCCTCTTACCTGATAAACTCCAGCCAAGAAGGTCACAGTGGCTGCCACTGTAATGGCATAGCAGCTTCTGTCACAGAGTAGCTCCTGCCCTGTGCCATTCGCTGGTGAAAGGGTGGTGTTCACATGTGCTGCTGCACCTGGGGGGACGCTGAGCACAGCTGGTTCCAAGTCATAGCCAGCTCTCTCCATTTCACGATCCACCACTTGTCCCATCATCAGGCAAGTCACACCGAAGATGCTGACCGAGATGTGGCGGGAGGTTCCAAATATGCAATAAATAAGGCTCGCAAAAAAGGATGTATAGAGGCCATAAATAGGCTCCACTCCAGCCAAGAGAGAGTAGGCAATTGACTGTGGGACTAGTAAGACCCCCACGATCACCCCGGACATTAAATCTCCCAAGAGATCCTCCCTCAGTTTGTATTTAGGAAGCCACCGTATGATGGGAAAGAAACCAAAAACACAGTCTTTAACTTTGTTTGGAGTGCAGCTGCAGGTTTTCTTTGCTTGCTTAACCACCAGAGCCTTCATGCTCCTCTTCTTCTCTTGGGGTTCCAAGAACATTCTGTGATGGAAACTGCATTTGGTGTCATCTCCTTCCAGCCCCTCAGTCACTGCACGGACGTTGTTGGTTTCCGTCACTGCTGCCATCGCAAGGACTTGCTAAAAACACAAAGAAGGACCACCTGCATTAAACCATACATGAATGTACTCTGTGAGACCTTCTTAGAGAGTGAACACAGTATTTATGGAATGACCTGCTAATCAAGGAATGACCTTTCCTAGGAGGGAAGTTGATATCCCATAGAATACACCTGCTGCTGGCAATGTTGTGTAATGGAAAGGAATGCAGCAGCCCTGCTCCTCTGGGAGTCTTCCTTGAGAAAATCTCTATCTGCAGCCTGTTTCCCCATGCAAAGACAGACACAGGGTTTATTGTAGTCCAACAGAAATTTCAATACACTTGCTGAAAATTAACTACAAATGGTACATTTCTAGCAGTGTACAGCTTGGTCTAAATCTCTTGTGGGTTATTTTTTTTTAATGCAGTGATTGCACCTGCCAAATACTGTAAAGACTTGTTACCTAAGAAGTGGCATTATTTCAGCCAGTGACACACCAGGAAAAGAAAGTGCTCTTCACGCTTTTTAAAAGCTGGTTTTTCAAGTAAATTACAACTGACTAAAACAATACACACCAGTGGAAAACATATTAATGGGCACAGTGAAAGGTAAGTGGAACACTATCACTAGAACTCGTGCTCTGTCCAAGCTGCCCACAAACAGTAAAAGAGGGTGATTATACCAAAGCACATTTAATAGTGGAAACATATTGCCTGACTGTGAAAGAGCACAATCTTGATGAAACAAGCCACAATGAAAGTTGACAGCAACAAGTGACTGTCAGCATTTATACAGCACTCCCACTTCCAGAAAACATCCAGAATCCCCCAGAGGTGCTCAAAATGACCCAGTGATCACGCTTGGAGGAGACCCCACCCCTACCTTTCAGGTATCTAATCTCATCCACCTTTACAGGACTACAGTGTGTGCTCAGGGATAATTTACAGCACTCACAAAACTGCCCCCAGATACTACACAGTGATAATTAAGTGTTACAAAAGTCTGCTCTACTCTGCTTAAGCACATCCTAGAGTTGCATTTGCTCCTGAAGTTTTATTCATTTTACAAGCACAGAGTTAGAAATCAAAAAGCTTTTCACCCACTCAAAGCTCAGCAAATCAATATTGTAAAAGTTGAGGGGGAAAAAAAAAAAATCACCTCACACTACTTTTTATGTGTAGCAAATTATTCAGATGAGTTTGATTTCTAGATTTTAGTGATGAAAATCCTCCTGATTCCACTCTCACTCATGAAGAAGACATTGTAGACAGCTCTTTTAAACCTGGGGTTTTCCAGTGTGCCAAGGAACTCCAACACGAAACCCAGACAGCTCAGATTAGTTCTACTGTAAAACATTTGCATGGTAGATGATGCCTGGGTTTTGGTTGTGTCCAGACAGCAGAAAAATGTTCTAAGTAAAAATCTCTTTGGCTATGAACCCCTGAGCATATACTGGGTCTTTGTGTTGACTTGCATGACAGCTTTCTCTACGTGGCATGAAAGGGCCTTTCATGACACAGTCCCTGCCTCTCCCCGTGTCAGGATACAAGGAAATGACACAATTTCTAACCCGCCTTTTCACCCTCTTCTGCCTCAAAGTGTTGCTCTGTATTATTTTTGTAACCGTTAGCCCAAACTTGCCTAAGAAAACTGGATTTTCTTCCTAAATATGAAAAAAAAAAAACCAAACCAAACAACCCTTTGGTTTAATGGACAGGACACTGAGGGATATTCTGTATATTCAGATGGGAAAAGGAGCCACTGTGTTTTTATTTTGAAAGCTGCTATTTATGTACAACTTCATATGCCTAGAATTCACTTTTATCGGGTTTTTTTGGCTTGAGTAAGGTCTTCAGGGTGTGTCTGTTTGCCACAAACTTTACTTAAGATAAAAAGAAAAAGACTACAGCACAGAACTGAGGTAATTTCCAGTATCTCTATGTTATAAGTAACTGCCTGTCACTGTTATCAGTGACTAAAGATATGGGGAGGTTCTGCTGTTCTGGAGATTTGATGACTTTTACAGCTCTTTCTGGAGCCCATCTGGGCCTTTCTTTCTGATCCCATGACATAGCAGAGGTGAACCACCACCTGCCTGGCACCCGTCTTTGGGGGAACACAACCTGCAGCACAGCTTGAACTTCATTCCTCTGTCACAGATCACAGTCACTTGACAGTAAGGGAAAAATGGATTGTGAAGCTCATTCACCTACTGAAATAATGCACTACAAGCTTAAACTGAAGATGTGAGCATTTAAGAGTAGAAACTAAACCAAAGGTCAATCAGAAGTATCCCTTCTATTACACTCATCTCAGTTTTCCAGATTATTTTCCTACATTTCATGTGCATGAGTTGACACTGTATGTGATCACTACCCACTCTCATGCACCTGCTTTGCTAGACATGAGAAGTTAAAAACAAATCTATAAACACATGATCTAAAGAGACATGAACAATTCCTGAAGAGCTGTAAAGGAGAAGCAGGTGAATCAGAAATCGATAAACTGAACCAGAGCTGGGGTACTACCTCCAGGTCCTTGGAAAATCTCCACCTAAGAGTATAAAAGGAGAACACATCGCGACATTTTGACAAGTAAATCTTTGACCTTCCTTTTGCTGGACAACAGCCTTTTTCAAATAATGTCTTCACTCCTGTGGAGCAACAAGGAAATTCAATATAGCCATGATAACACCGAGATAAGCACTGCAACAGCAATGTATGCACCTTGGAATTTGACAAAATACTTAACATCCTCCAACAAAACATTCTAGCCACGAACAGTTACTTCAACAAAGGACTTAAAATAATGTGAATACCAAAAGAAAAGGCACACCACGTTTAAGCAATACATTTGGGAGCAGAACTACCTTACTTTTGGCACAATAACCGCCAGCCGTTCAGTCATGTGGGAAAACCCGCAAAGCCGGACAATAAAACCTCGCTTGTGTGAAATACGTAATCTCCTCCTACTTCAGATGTTGGTTCTCCTGAGCAGCAGCACCAGCAAAGCTGCTCACCAGCCTCTCCGGGGAAGATCCCATGGAATCGGCAGCCAGCCTTTCTAGGGAAGATCCCACGGAATCGGCAGCCAGCCTTTCCAGGAAGGTCATCTCACCTCCGAGAGCAGCTGTCCAGTGTGTTGGCTGCCCTGCTCCGTGTGAAGCAGATCCCTCCTGCGGACCAGCCACAGCCTCACACAGTGCTCCGGCAGGTTCCATCCGAACTGGATGCCTTACGGAGAGTTTGCTAAGAAGTACCTCTATCAATTTAGGGCCCTCCTCCCGCCCTTACTGTTGGCAAGCAAAGGTGAAGCACTGAAGAGCTGCTGTGTTGGGCGGTGGAAAAAGTGTCCAAAAGTATTTCCTCGGGCAGTGGCCGCCAGCTCAGCTGCCCACACGGCCCGAGCCCAGCTCCATCCAGCCCACCACGCCTCCCGATGGAAACCCACGCACTGGGACTGTGCTGGATAACGGCGTGCTTACAAGAACGCTGTTTGTTGAGCTGGTTGGGGTTTTCTTATGCTAAAAAAAAAATCTGCAAGAAGAAGAGACACTAAGAAGAACCCCACACGCTGTTTACACTCCTGAAATTGCAGGGTTCTGCTGAGAGCTCGTGTGTCGCTTTGGGAGCCAACCAACCAGCAATTTACGCTGCCGGGAGGGCGAAAGGGAAGTAAGTTACAGCGGCGTTTTAGTTTGTAAAGCAACATTCACTTTCACCCGCAGGGTCGCGAAGACAACATGCAGTTTCACCCCAAGGGTCCCACTGCCTTCACATCCATCCCCTCCGCTCCCGCCCCGGCAGGAGCTCTCCCTGGGGACCCGCTTCCATCTGCCGCTTTCCTGCTCTTACCCTGCGGAGCCGCTCCAAAGGGGGCTGCGAGCAGGAGCCGAGCACGGTCCGCACCCGGACGCCGCTGCCGCCCCGACCCCCAGCCCGGCCCGGGCCGCCTCCCCTCCCTCTGCACTCACCGCGGGGCCGCCGGCGGCTCCTGCAGACCTCGGCGGGTGGGACAGACGGACAGACCGACCGACGGATGGGCGGACCGAGCCCCGCAGCTCCCGGCGGCACCGCCCCGGCAGGGGCCGGGAGCGGCGGGCAGGGAGGACGGGCAGGGCCGCGCCCCTCGGCCCGCCCGCCCCGCTCCACTTCCTAATGGGTTCCACGTGTGGTGCGAGTTAGGAGGGGCCCGCGGGGTGGCTGGTGCGGAGAGCGGCTGCCTGGTCCTGTTCCTGTTCCTGTAGCCGGGGAAAAAAACCCGCCCTGCAGCGAGGAACGAGCCGGAGGGACCCGCTCTGTTGTTGAGGAACCCACGTTTCAGGCAGGGAAGTCCCACTCACGCTTCTAAACTGGAGGATTGATCAGGGCTGGTAACCCGAGGTAAAAGTGACCATAAACTTTCCGCAGATAGGGAAACTGCAACAGTTTCTGACAGAGGAAACGGCCTCTTTTTCCTCTGAGGTACCGCTAGGATTCGTAAAAAGTCTTTTAAAATCCCTCCGTGATGTTTGTTTTGTTTGTTTGTTTATGTGCTTGTGTGTCTGGGAGGTGCTTCCACCTGGGAAGGACGGAGGATCCCTGACAGTGCTGGTACTAAAACCACCAGGTTTTTGTTCGGTACTCCGTTTTTATCTCTAGGCTGGAGGTCAAGGCTGGAGGGGCCATGGCCAGGCTCGTCTGCCTTTCCTTCACAGGAAAACAGACATTTGATCTGAAATCAAACATTGCCCAATATTTGCATTCCAGGTGGAACCTTGAGCTGTCAAAAAACCCATCAATACACAGTTGGAGAAAGCAAGCCCAGCTTCAAGCCTGCAGGATCCACGTTCGTGTCTTTCAGTGTTAGGCAAATGCTATCAACCTTGCTGTAGAAATACTGAATATTTTCATAGGAAACATTTACCCTCTCCATTAGGGTTTAACTAGATGTCATGGTAGCTAGAACAGGCAAGCTAAAAAGGAAATAAAATAGCTCCCTACCTCTCCCCTGACTGTTGAAAGAATCAGTGACTTTGACTTCCTAGTCCCCTTAGGGACTTCCACGGGAGTTTTAATTGAGTTTGAAGTATATGGTGACTCCAAGATGACCAGAGTGAATCCGTGGAAAGATTGACATCTATGACAAAAGCACTAAAGAGGAGCCTTTTGCACAGGGACGCTGCAGAATCCTAGCAAGGAATCACAAACCTGAGCAACAGGTGTTACAGCATTTTCATTCTTGTTCTAGAGGTATAGGCTGTGGAACAACTCGGATCATGAAATACATCATGTCTTCGTGGACAAAACAGGGAAATAATATCTTCTTGGAACACGATATTAAAAAAAAATCCTAAGCATCATTTTTTTCGTGAACCACTGATATCATTAAGGGTTTTTTTCTTTTTACTTTTACACTGACTTTCTAAAACAATGGGGGGAAAAAATCCAAGCAAATATTTAAGATAATTAAATCATTTAACTTCCATCTGCTTTCCTTTTCTCAAGATATATTAAGCTTTATGGTTAATATTTGTGTGCTAAGGGAATTTTGGCCTTGGAGAAATGTGCCCCTGGGCTTCTCATGCTCCAGAATCTCCTGCCAGGGATCGGTGAGCTGGGACTTGCTGGCACACAAACACCAGCACGTGCCATCCCACTCAGTCTGCCTGGCAAGCCCACTGCCTCTGGCTCTCCACATTTCTCCATCATCTTTGTAAATACCAAATCTCCAGAGACCAGTTTCTCAGACTGCAAAATAATCTTGGAAAACGCTCTGTTTTGTTCCACTGAGTACACACCCCTGGGCAGCCCAGGGAAGCCCTCCCACCTTGCTTTTTGCCCAGCAGCTCTTGTACAGCCCCACTGTGCCCTGGTCTCACCCAGCAAATTTCTCCATGGGCTGCATGTGATGGTGTTATCATCCTTCTCTACTCTGACAATAAACCCTACGTGCAGCGGCTCTCCCTGGTTCTTCTCAGTCTTTTCCAGGCTTCCAGCTCTGCTTTATGGCTCAGTAGATAAGGGCACCCTCTGATTTTCCCCTAGATGGTTTATGCCACCTGGCCCCCAGCCTTGCATAGGGAGCCTCCTGCTTTCAGTCACATCCTCCTGGTACCTCCCTGCCCAGTGCCCTGGTCCTGCTGGGTGCACCTCCACAGGAGGGCTGTGGTGGAAGTGCCTAAAAACATGATATTTTATCTCCTTGCCCTTCCTTCCCTGTGCAACTCACACTCCACTGAGATTTGGGCCTGCATTTGCATTATTTTGCATTAAGTTTGGAGATGGAGAAGATGGGAACTGCCTTGTTCCTGTCTGTGAAATCCATCTGTGTGTCAAAGCTGGGACAAACCTTCCTCCCCATCCAGGCATCGGGTCACCCAGACCTGCTGGGCTGAGAAGGCCCCAGTGTCAGACATGCAGAGGTCTAGATGTGGCAGGTCTGCCTTATTTAGAAAGCCCATCAGACCTAGCCCAACAGAAGGAGGCCTATCCAAGTGTTTGAAATGCATTTAATTTAATTCAGTCACATCATTCCATGCTTGGCAAAACCAAAAAAGAAGAGCCATAAAATCATCTACTTCACTCACCTCCCCTCTTAAGGCTTCTATCAAGGATGAGACAAACACCAAGTAAAAACGAAGTAGGTGGAGGGAAGGGGGCATAATAAAAAATTAAAGATGTGATAAGTCAGAGTTCTTAGATAGTCAAAATACTTAAGCCATAAAGATATCAAAAAAGAAATAAGCTCTGTCCATATCTCAGGACTATGTATGTCACAATTATATTGCTATCAAGAAAGAGTGTTCAGCACAAATATCTATGCAGAACTGCTACACTCTCAGTGTATGTCATAGTCTTCTAGAGTCAAAAACTAATTAGGTAATAAAATTTTCAGTGTTGTGTGTTAAAAAGCTTAGTTAATTGCTGGACTCCAGTGTTTTCTTACATTGCTTTCATTCAGACTTTAACCTCTTTGTTTCCTTAAGGCTGATGCATGGATTATTAAAAGTACAAATCTCAAATTCCCAATTCTCTTTGCAAACAGACAAATGTGGGGAGGGAATTTAACTGCACCATCAATTTAGTATCTAACTCAGAAATTCTATCTTTCTAGATACTAATTTTCATCCAAAAGCTTTATGAGCCTGCAGCAGTATTAAAACTTTTATTTTTTCCAGTCTACTTAAAATCCTTTGCTTTTGTCATCTAGTAGGGATTATGAAGTTCTTATCTCCTGGATCACATGAATTTTGCCTACAACAGGGTCACCTTCTTTTGCTCTGTTTTGGCAGGTGTTCACATCAGCCCCAAACTGAGTCTCATAAGTCTCACAGTGAAGAGCTACCTGCACTTTTCCCTCCAAACTAGTTGCTTGGCAAGTTTCATTCAGACAATTAATGCCTTTGTTTTGGTCACCGAGTCCCGTAGGCTCTGGGTGTAAGTTAAGCCAAGTACTTCAATCAAATGCTGTACTGTATTTCCTGTGATGGGCGTGCCAAAGGCAGCGTCACACCTGTCTAATGAGAGCTGCCCAGCTCTTCCTGAAAGCACAAATGGCCTTTGCCCAGCCTGCTGCAGACATACTCCCTGCTCAGACTGCTCCCAACCCCTCTGAAAGCATCCTGTGAATGTGATTCCACTTATGAGAACTGGACGGTTCAGGTTTCTGGGAGGACCCCTCTCTAAACAGGTCACAGACACTTCTGCCAGGGGCTCAGAGATTCAGGGAGCTGATGGCTGGCATCAGGGGAAAGGTGAACTCAGTACCTCATCCTTTCCCTGGGGAAAATAAACACCATCATGATGTTAAAAAACTGTGAACTGCTTGCAGGCAAGGGGGCAGCTATATATCCAGAAAATGCTGCTGAGGGCAGCTGCCTGAAGTGTAAGAACTGCTCAGCACTCTGCTGCCAGTTCCCCTTTCCTTCTGCTAGTGATGGGAAGAGTGGACTCTGGTCCTCCCACTATAGCCTGTGGCTGGAGATACAGAAACATATGTTTGTAGTGCCAGTTTTGTTGAGGAAATGCTCAGCTGATATTTCAGAAGGGGCTACAGAGGTGCTGATGTTTCCTAAGTGTAGTCGATGTAGGGTTCTCTATGAGATGGTGGGGAAGGAGTGACTTAAAATACAATGTTTGAGTCAGTCTCACTCTCTGTAGTGATTTGCAGCAGTGCAGTAACTTGGTCTGCAGCAGCAGCACTGAACTGCACTGGCTGGTCACAGCTCCTTTATCTGGGGTGACAGCCAGAGAAAAACCCAGGTAATAAAAGTGCTGAAGGACAGGCTCATTTCTTTTGCCTCATTTGAGTGGTTGAGTGCAGCTGTCCTTCGTGTCTTGCTGCCTTCAAGCAGTAAGGAATATCTGCAAAGTCACCTTGAGCTACTGCTGAGCTCCCAAAATTTGGCCAGGCACTTTCTGTTATGCTGACAGTTGATGTGTGCAGCAGACCAAGGACTGAGGATACATTACAGCTTGGCCAGTCCATCTGAGCCATGAAGGGAGATGTTACTCTAAATCTGAGATGCAGTTTGCTGCATTTAGTTTTAATCCCTGCAAGTAGATATATGTTATCACAGGTAACAGAATAGAGATGTAGCCATGAATCCCACAAAAGCACACAGAACTTTAGCCTTTCTTTTTTAAAAATACTTTTGTTGGAAACCCTGTTTTGCAGTATTTTTATTATTTATAGTAGAAACACCCAGGTTGTGAACCTACGTGTGGAATCTGGATCCCAGCTAGGCACAGAGCAGCCTCCAGCACCAGAGAGTGAGTCTAATTGCCTGGAAGCATCTATGAAATCCCTTTGTGGAGTTGGCATGTGCAGTAAAGGCTACATCAGGAAAACACAGATGTGCTTGGTCAGGAAAGAACATCCCCACCTGGCTGAGGGAAGCGATTGTCCTGCTCTGCTCTGCACTGCTGTGGCCTCACCTCGAGCCTGGTGTGCACCACAATATAAAAATACCTAAAACTCTTAGAGAGCATCCAAAGGAGGGACATGAAGATGGTGAAGGGTCTGGAGTGGCTGAGGTCACTTGGTTTGTTCAGCCGGAGGAGACCAAGGTCAGACCTCACTATGGGCTTTAACATCCTCCCAAGAGCAGAAGAAGAGCAGCTCTGATCTTTGCTCTCTGTGACCAGTGACAGGACCTGAGGGAACAACTGGAGCTGTCTCAGGGGAGGGTTAGGCTGGATATTGGGAAAAGGTTCTTCCCCCAGAGGGTGGTTGGGCACTGAACAGGCTCCCCAGGGCAGTGGGCACAGCCCCAAGGCTAACCAAGAGCTCAAGGAGTGTTCGGACAACGCTCTCAGGGACAGGGTGGGATTTTTGGGGTGTCCTGGGCAGGGCCAGGAGCTGGAGTGGATGATCCTTGTGAGTCCCTTCCCTTCAGCATATTCCATGATCTGTACCCACGGAGATGTGACCGTAAAGCATCTTTGTGTGCTACTAACCCTGGTGGTTACCATGGCTCTTTGAACACTCTGTGGAAGCATTAAAATGTTGCCTCGAGGTTGATCCATACAAAGATAAGACACTGCTACAAAGACACTTGTGTTGAATGGGATAATCCAAATCTGTAGCATGGTCCTGAACAGCTTTCTACTGCAGCCACCCACAAACAATGCTCTCAAGAACTAATTCCTGGTAATGGCATGAAATCACACAGCCTTGCTTATCTGCACCATTTATTTGGTTATCCAGCCACCTAATGACAACAGAATCACCACAAACAATAGTGCACAAATATAATGAGAACCACGAGGTGATACAGCCCACAGTTTGGAAAACAACAGAAACCAAAGATTTTCTTACATTCATGTAATTCTTAGCACTTCATTTTTAAATTTGCATCTGCTACAGAATTGATTTGAATGGAAGGGATGCAGGGGAGGTCAAGACACTTGGCAGATTCTCATTATTAAAGGTAACAATATTAAACTTTTCCTTTCCATCTCAGTTCTGACGTTTGTTCTTCGCCTCTCTTTTTCTGCTGGTAATTCGCGAACCAAGAAGTTTTATATCTGTCACATGCTAGTCCTTTACTTTGGTTTGCCCTGTAGGAATACACAAGATGGAAAAGTTGTAGTCACTGTAATAATAGTCATATTTTGTTGCTATGTTAATAACATACTTTACAAGTTGCTGCCAAGTAGAGCTTCGCGTTCCCTCAGAAAACAATATTTCTTTTCCCTTTCGAGTAGCTGTCTCATTCCATATAGACCACAGCCATTGGTATGTCTGTAGAAGACTGAGCTCACAAGACAAATAAATGGACATGTACACTGATTAAAAGATATACCTCCGGATGTGCTCCAAAAATTAAAAAGTGATGAAGAAAGTAGGATTTTCCTTTGAATTTATGGATTAAGAAAAACCTGTTTGCAAACTGCAGTTTCAGCAATAAAAAAAATAATTAAAACCATCTTTTATATGACTTCTAAATAACATTTATTCAAAAAAGCTTGTGGAACAGATGCACCACTGTGCCCAGCAGAAATATATCTGAGCATTGGACTAGTGCTATCTTAAGAGAAATAGTGTTCACACATTTCATATCTCCTGCAGCATTTGGTCTGGGAATCCTTTCAGGCACTGGGTTTGCTCCAGTTTCTGCTCAGTTGGTGGGAACCCCTCTTTGGTCTTTGCTTGGAACAGGCTCAGACTTTAGTGAGTGCTGAAGCAAAGCCAGTGTCTCCCTCAGGCTGAAGATAAATGATTTCTCTGGTGAGTTCCCAGAGATTTCTGCCCAGTGCAGATTTTGAGAGCTGTGCCCTGAGGCTGCTGGTTCACCTCTGGCAAAGAGAGGAGATGCACACAAAAAAAATGCCATTCACATTTTTAGGTGAGAGATTTTCTCTGCAAGACTCACAGTGTCAAGCCAGAGTTCTGAGGAATAAACAGTATTTTTTAACACTTAGGAATTTGAAGAGGTACCAATAGCTGAAGCTCCACTGTAAAGAAACGGTGTTGAATGTTAGTGCCTCATGAAACACAAATCACATCTTGTTAACAGCGAAATAAGAGATGTGAATGGACCTGACCCTCCTCTTTTGAGAGGAAGGACAGCCTTCCAGACTCTGCTGGGCTCTCCTTGAAACTGAAGCAGAGAAGCACAGGACACAAGGTCCTTAAATAAAAAACTGCTGGAGAAATTTGTCAGCAACATTTTTTAAGTAAGGAAAAGGATTTACCTGTTCCACTTAATTTGGTTGGCGAGTACACCTAAAAAAAAAGCAAAAAAGAGATGGAGAAGAATGGTTAACAAAGCTAGCAACAAATTCAAGTTTAAGGCTTTGTACTGTATCCCTGGGTCTCATGGTCAGAGATTAACTAGGTGGGGATAGGGGTGGGCAAATGAAGAACACATTTCTTGAAAGCACGACTGAGCACCCAAAGACATGGGAAGTTGGTGGGAGCAGGAAACCACATCAGATAGAGGAGAAACTGGCCTTGCACTGCTTAGGAACAGACTTCTTCCTCATTATCCTCAGAAAAATCTTTCTGCCCCCTTTCCCCTCCCCTCTCCAACACTCCCAAGATCCCACACAAATCCACATCAGCCCCTCAAGGCCATGTACATGCCCTGATTAAAGCAGATGCTGATCAGTGGCCATCAGCCAGGACTATGGGTCGCATGGATTGCTCTTTTCCAGTGGGTCAGCAGCTCAAGGCCGGTGGGTCAGGTCAGCTCACCTTGCAGTTTGCGCAGGACACAGTCCAGGTCCTTCGTGAAGTACCGCATCAAGTCTTGGTAGCAGCCAATCCTGGTGTGATCCACCTGCACCACCACCACGTCTGCCCTGTCAATGTTCGAATTCTGCCTCGCAATCCTAGGGCACAGACAGTCATTCCACCAAATGCAAACCATTTAGCACTTAAAAGCTAACAGACTTCTTCACTAGGATTCTTTGGAGGGTCCTACAAAGAGGAGGGTGCTTTGGCAACGTGAAGTATTGGGTAAACAGTTGTTATATAACAATTGTTATATATTTTTATTTGTTTGGCAATGCCTTTTGCTTATCAAAGCTGGATGGTAACTTTCAAATGCTGATAGGGAGAAAGGGGGAGGCATTTTGATGACACTTGTATGTGAATAGTGCCTTGACTTGATGCTGTCGTAGCACAACCGCTGCCATGACGGAACAAAAATGCCAAACGTACTAAATGGTATCCAGGCTCCTGGAAAATGATTTTGATCCCACAGGCTAGAATTTGACATGCAGCACAGCTGTAAGTAACAGACTGCACTGCTGTGAGCACAGCCCCAAGATACGCAATGATTCAAATCCAAGTTCAAACTCAGCTTTAATCTGTACAAGTTACAGAGATGACAACATCCAGGTAGATGTTTGAGCCAGCCCTTCATGCAGCTGGGGCCTTCAGTGCTGCTGCAAAGCCTCCTGTGGATCTCTAACTTACTGTCAGTGTGGATTTGCACCACCGAATTACAGCTGACACCCAGGAGTCACTTAGGAAGTGATAAGTTATAAATTAAGCATATCACTGGCAAGAGAACCAGTAATAAATCTTTCCAGCTACTAAGCTTGTCCCCAAACCAAAAACTTTGTGGGAAACGAGCCAGTTACCTCTGCAGCCAAAGGCTGTTCACTGGGACTCAGCTGAAGGAGGGTCACCAATGCACATCCACAAGAGAGCACCACTGTAAACTGAACCCTATGGGCTTCATCTCAGATACAAACTTTTTTTCTGGCAATAAATGTCAGTGGTTTTCATCAGAATACAGCAAGGAAAACAAAATTTAAAGGGACCACTAGAGCAGCAGGCAGGTATCTCTCCATCCTTGTTAATTGTGTGGATGTGGTGCCCTCTGTCTCACTGGAATAGGGAACAGCTTTGCAGCACAGGGTGGCAGGACTGAGGGGCACAGGCAGTGGGGTCTGATTCCAGTTGTCACACCATACGTTTTCAAAGAAGAAAACAAGTGTTTACAGGTGGAACATACCTGTCTGTGGCCAGTTGAAATTCCTACAAAGACGATTATCAAAAAATAAATTAAAAAAAAGAAAAAGAAAAAAATTGTTAGTGTGATTATCAGAAAGGGAAGCTGCCTGAGAAATAGGCACATCCATGAAGAAAAACAGAATATCACTGCTTACCTTGAAGAAGAGGAAAATATCTTGTCGCTCTCTCATCTTCTGCAAAAGCTGAAGATTCTGCTTAACCTCCTTTCTCCTCTCTTCCATTTCCTTCTTCACTTTGTTAATGTCTGCCAGTTGTTTTTTCTCATTAGACTGAATGTCACTCAGGATCTTCTGCTCTTTCTTAACCAACTCTGTCTTTAACTCATCAAACAGCTTTTGTATCTGAGAAGTCACTGTCTTTGTATTGGTCTAAATGAAGAGATTAAGAAAATGGGTCACAAGCTCAGGAACCCCACACTTCAGCTTAGTGCCTCTCTTTATCAATTTGGATTGTATCTATCCTTTGCACTGGCTTTAGAAGGAAGCAGACAGTAAGCATTTGCTTAGAATATCTGATTAAACAGAGGCTTATGAAAATTAATCCTGATATAGTAACAAAATCAGATAAAATTCAGCTACCAATGTGAGAACTGTATCTGTACACACTGAGAACTCCACCTGTAGATGCAAAATGCTTTTTTCTAATAGGTAGAAAACTTTAAAAATATATAATGACATATACAATCTGTGGTCTGCCAGTCCTGTAGCCTGTGCGACCACAATAAAGGGTGGAATCCCCCAGCTGGTTCCTCCTGTGGAGCTATGCCGGGAGGCTGCGAGAAAACTTGGCTTCTGGCAGTTTCTTACACCATTGTTTTCCCTGTTTTGGATTATATCCCTTTCTATTCCTCTGCTTTTAACAGCAGAGTTGCCATCACTTACTGCTGGGAAATTGTGAAGGAAATTGAATTAGCAAGGATCTGGGTACCAACCTTGAGCTGATTCTCACTTTTCTGAAGATCTTCTAGGGCGGTAACCAAGGCACTTTCATATTGCTGCAGCCGTGTCACCGTGTTCAAGAGTTTAGTCTGGCAGAAGGAAAGACAGCACTGAGCTTCATAGCAGGGACAGCTTTAAACCAGACTGGCAGTTTGTGGAGCTGAAATGGCACAGGCTCCTTCTGCCTGCCCTCTTTCACCAGAGTCCTACCTATAATAAACTGTGTTCACTTGTCAACTTGTAAAGATAAGACATAACAGGAAACTGTTTAATTTTTATATATGTGTGACTTTATGGTAGGTTAATTAATAACTTTCCCTTTGAGTAAGTAAATTTCATTTTAAATCAGTAAATCTCACTTTATCTGTTAAAGCTTCACAGAATCTTCACATGTGCCTTAATGTGGTCCAAATCCTTAGTTTTCATCTGTCAGCAGCTGTGGGATCTGAGAATAAGGTAATAACCAATTATCTTTTCTGAAAATCAGCAAAACAGCAATACTTACTCACCCAGCTATTTATTTTAAGGGATACCATGATCGTTGAGTGCTGTGGAACTGCACAATAGCACAGTTAGAGGAGACAGTAAACCTTGCTCTTTGGGGATTAGACAGTCTCTGAGTGGCTTTGGTTGCTTCCAGCAGTGTTTTCACACCTTGAGCACCCATGAATGGCCATGACAGACACACCTCCCAGACTTCCATTTTTTTAATAAAAATCATGCCAGAAATTTTAGATTTTCCATGAGATAGTTGTCATAGCTGTCACAGAAATTTTAATTTTTGAAACATTAAAAGACAAATCAAATTTGATCAAGGTTCCTCTCACCAAAACCCTTTTACAATTCCTTCTGAACAGCTGCATTACCGATTTCACTGGCTATCCTGGGGAGTTTGAAAAATAACCACCCAAGAGGAATATGCAGCAGAGATCTCAGTTTACCCACAGGGATGGATCCCCTCTAGTCAGGCCAGTGTTGCTCCTTTATCGGCCCCAGGGATGAAGGAAACGGCCCCTGTCTCACACAACTCACTTGTGCTTGGCAGCTCTGAATTTTTTATATGTAATGTGAGGGAGGAAATTTGTGATAACTGCAAAGGGTGCCTCCTACTAATTCCTGAGGAGGCTGTGACCTGTCCTGAAGTTCAAAGTAAGCCAGGCATTTCCTACCCAGGCACTGGATTCCTACATGCTCTATTTTTTTAGGCTCTAAACTGAGCCCAGAAATTTCAAATGCAAGGCACTGAGCATAGCAAATGCATTTTATCGCCTCAATCTCAGCTGATTCTGGAGAATTTCAAGGACAGCAGCTGGACTCAGAAGCAGGAATGTGGAGGCCCCCTGTCTCTGTATCTGCTGGGCCATTGGCTCAGCAAAATTTATGGCAGAGGGAGGAACTGCAAAATCACATAATCAGTTAGGTTGGAAAAGACCTCTGAGATCATTGAGTTCAACCTGTGACCCATCCCCACCTTGTCAACTAGAGCAGAGCACTGAGTGCCACATCCAGTCATTTCTTGAGCAGAGCACTGAGTGCCACATCCAGTCATTTCTTGAACACCTCCAGAGATGGGGACTCTCACTCGCTCTCCCATTTCCCCACACGCTGAAGGATTTACCCACCCTTGTCCCAGTCAGCCCCAAACACCTCTCCGCTCTTCTCCCTCTGCTTAGCTGGTCAGGCTGCTCTGGCAACACAAACGAGGAAAAGAAAAGCAAATTCCAGCACAATGCACCAGTCCCTGATGGGGCAGATATGAAATCCCTGGAGCTGTTGCCTGCCTGCCCCCACTCCCCACCCCAATCCCCATTCCCTGGTGAAAGCCCCACTGCCCCTCCTGTGGCTTCCTCCAGCTCAGGGGTCAGAGCAAATCCCGCAGGAGCCGTGGGGAGAGAAGAGCTCCTTACCAGCTGCTCGTCATGTCCCTCCTTCAGGGTGATGACCCTGTGGTTCATGTGAGCCCCCCTGGTGAAGCAGAGCATGCAGATGTACTGCCCCTCCCAGCAGCAGTAGTATTCCAGCATCCTGCCGTGCTGCAGGCACCTCCTCTCCTCCACCACACCGCCTGCTCCCACTTGCACCAGGATGTGGTCCCGGCAGGAAGCCTTGGAGTTGTGTTTGTTCAGATGGGCCTTGCACAAGGACGCATCGCAGATCAGGCAGGTTTTCACCGCTGGCTGGGTCTCATCCAGGCAGTACTCACAGGGGAACACCTCTGTCCTCTCCTCTTCAGAGCCCTTGCCGTGTTTTTCTTTGGAAGTCTTGGCCTGAAATGCCTTCACGATGTTGCACAGGTGGAAATTTTTCTGCAGCTCCAGGTTGGGCCCCAGGTAGAGCCTGCACACGGGGCAGGTCAGAGGAGCCAGGGATTGTTGCCGGGCTGTGAGCACCTTCAGGATGCACTGCTGGCAGAAGCTGTGACGGCAGCTCAGCAACACTGGGTCCTTGTAGAGGCACAGGCAGATGGAACAGATGAGTTCGGCCTCCAGGCTGGCACCTCCTTCAAACTCCTCACTAGCTTTTTCCATGGCCGCAGAGATGGCGCCCAAGCCAGACTGCGAGAACGAAAACTAGCAAGGTGGGAGAGCCAGCCCAGACGCTGCAAGTACTCCCTCTCCACCCCCGCACAGATGTTCCCTCTCCCGGCTCCACCCTCAGACGGTTCCTGTGCGCCCTGGCAGCCACTTGGGGAAGTTTTCCCTTAGTCTCGGGCAGCACTGCTCCAGTGTGAGCTCCCGCTGGGATGCTGGGAGCACAGGGGGCTGGGGAGGGCACGAGATGGACAATTCTCTTGCAGCCTTCTGCTCCCCCCCCCCCCCCAAGAAAATTTCTCCATTCCACAACAAGGGCAGCAAATTTGAGATTAACCCTGGCTGAGAATGAGCCTAACAGGGGTAAGCCAGGAATACCCTCTGCATTGGCTACAACTCCCCAACAGTCCCAGGTACTCCCTAGGGGTAAAACAAGAACCTAAAGGAAACTTGAACTGGGACTTGTTGAGGCGCATCTACCAGCAGCCAGCTGACAGGAAAGTGGGGGTTGGTAAATGCTCTCAGGCACTCTAGGATAGGAATAGCCCTGTACCATGTCATGAGCCTTGCTTACCCCTCTTTGTGCTTACCCTCTTGTGTACTACCTGAGACAAGGCAGAGCAGCAGCCACTGCAGGTGCATTTGGGAGACCCAGCTCTACCTGCATGGTTTTCCATATCATTTTGGTGTATAAAATGAAAAAGAAAAAACACAGCTTTCTTCCAGGACTGAACATGAATGTATTTTAGCATATGAAAACCTATAGTGTCTCTCAGGGTCTTTCACTATCCCTGCTGGGATGAAGAGCTTCTGCTTGGGCCGCTTAATGCAAATACTCTGACTGTCTGAAGTCAGCAGAACCACAGGCAGCAGGCAGGAATATCATCTCTTCCTCTCCAAGGTGTTTGGACAGTCGTAAAATCTTACTAATCCATACCACATATGGCACAGGGGGTTTTGCTTCTGTACCGGATGCCTTCGGTTGTGCAGGACTGGCAGAGGCAAAAACTGCTGCCTTAGAGCCAAGATAAGCATTGCTGCTGCTTAGTTTTGTTGCAGTTCATATTGTGCTCTCCACTTTAGGACAAAATAAATTGCCACTGACTTTTGCAAATTAAATGACTTTAATAATGTGCTGCCAACACAGTATTTGATACAGCTGAGCAAAAACGAGCAACTTAATGGTACTTCCACCATGGTTAACAAAACAAATAAAAGAGAAGTTCTTGCAGTAAGAAGCAGTGTGCTGTGACATACCCCACAGAAGCCATCACAACAACCCACAAACCATTTTTTGATATGTTAGCTTAGCACACCCCCTGCGCAGCAACGGTCCCAATTCCTAGGCCTGGAAACACAAAGCAACACCTTCTTCCCACATCAAAACAGGAGCTTCAAGGAGCCATCAGACATGCTGATGGCAGCATGGACAGGATACTTCAAAGGGATGCTTACTGCCTCTCTAAGCCTGAGGCTCTTAGCAGGATCTCCAGCCTTGACAGACATGTTAAATAAAGGCAGACTGTTTCTTCCACTTTCCAGTTTTGCGGTTTCTGATGCTCGTTCTACTTCGAGGCTGTTGTCCTAGGAACATGCAGACGTAATTGTGAGGCACTTGCAGGTAGCACTCAGACAGGGTACACATGATTCCAAGCTTCCAGCAGCTCTCATTGTTGGTGTTCACCTCCCAGAAGCTCTGGTCACTCTGCATGTCTGGGACAGCACTGCACATATTTGAGTCCTGTCTTGCTTTTGGTTGGGATGGAATTCATTCTCTGCTCAGTAGCTAGTACAGTGCTGTGTTTTGGATTCAGTATGAGAATAATGTTGATAACCCACTGATGGATGGTTTGGCTGTTGCTGAGCAGTGCAAGGGTCCTAAGTCAAGACCTATCAGTACCTCATGCTCTGCTAGTGAGGAGCTGCACAAGAAAGCTGGGGAGGAGCATAGCTGAGGCAGGTGACTCAAACCAGCTAAAGGGATATCCCACACCATAGAACACCATGCCCACACCATATAAACAGGGGGAGGCAGGCAGAAGGGGCTGATCACTGCTCAGGAACAGTGTCTAGACATCATAGAGTGGGCAGGTGGGGAGCAGTTTTATTGTGCATCACTTGTTTTGGTTGGGTTTTCTCATTCTCTTTGCTCCCTTCTGTTATTACTATCATTAGTAGTGGTATCATTATTATTATTATATTTTGCTTTGTTTCATTTATCAAACTGATATTATCTCAATCCACAGGTTTTACAGATTTTTCAGAATTTCCGAAAGAACCCATCAAAGCCATTATCTGAAGTAAAGCTGGGAGGAGGAGTACTGCCAACGGTAAAAGTAAAGCAATATGGATCTGGGTAACCTGGTTGACCTGTACTGCTGTGAGGAGTTGAAACCACCACCTCTTTAAAATAGAGAGAAAGAGAAAAAACACATTATGATTAACAGATAAGTGTGCATTGATGAAAGTTAGACTTCCCAATCCAAGTCATCCAAGCCAATCCAAGTCATCCAAGTCCAACCCACCCAAAGCATTAAAAGCATACATTAACTGAAACATCTTCTGCACTCTCTTAGCTGCTCCTATGTAATTCTGAGGTGGGTGGACAGTACATTTTGGGAATTGCTGCTCTTTCAGTTTTAGCATGGTGTGCTTCTTAGTGTACCCAAGGCTTCTACAGATGGTGGCCAGTTAGGTGTGCACATCACTCACTGTCACACACGCTCCGACCTCAGCTGTCTCAGTCTTGACCCATGGCTGTTGGCAAGGGCTGAAGCATCCTCAAGACAGCAGTAACAAGGGAACTCTGATTTTTTCCATTCAGCTGGACAAATACCCCACCATGTACAACCTCACGGTAGGTTAAGCTTCCAAAGCACTACAAAAAAGCAAAAGTATTTGCACAGAAAGAGCAGATTATTTATGTCGTAAACAAACTCCACCTGCTGCTGCTGTGATGAGTTCTCAACTTTCCCCTTGAATCAAAGGGATGCCACAGACAGGGGAGGAGTTGCTATTATCTTCTCTTAATCCTCATGGAAAACTCCTAGAAATTCCACACCTCTTTACCCAGAGCCTGTTTTAACAGCGTGTATCCAAGGCATGCCCCCAAAGACTGAAGCCCAGGACAAGTTTCCCTTTTTGTACACACATGTGCAAATTAGCATACAAAGTTAGGAATCAACACTTCTAGGGGCACTTCGTGTACTTGGTGTCTTGTATTACAACCCTTTCTTAAAGATCTTTTGTTGACTTTTCCATCTTGCTTTTGCTATAGTGAAATGATCACTTACCAGGTGGTGGTTTAAATGAGGACTCCATGTTTGAAAGGAATTCCTGGAAAAGGTATAGAGTATTGAGTGTTTTTGATTTATCCAAAGCAATAGGTGAGTTTGGCAGTTTCACACCATCCATGACAGCAACTGGCTTGCGTTTCCTAATACATGCAGAAAGAATCATAGAACCATAGAATCATAAAATCATTCAGGTTGGAGAAGACGTCCTAGATTATCAAGTCCAGCCTGTGATCCATCCCCACCTTGTCAACCAGACCAGAGCACTGAGTGCCATGTCCAGTCATTCCTTGAACACCTCCAGGGATGGGGACTCCACCACCTCCCTGGGCAGCCCCTTCCAATGTCTAATCACCCTGTCTGTGAAGAAATTTCTCCTAATGTCCAACTGAATCTCCCTTAGCACAGTGTGAGACTATGTCCTCTCATCCTGTCCCTTGTTCCTTGGGAGCGGAGCCCAACCCCCACCTGGCTCCACGGTCCTGTCAGGGAATTGTAGAAAGTGAGAAGGTCCCCCGAGTCTCCTTTTCTCCAGGATGAGCCCCCGCAGCTCCCTCAGCCACTCCTCACACGACTGACTCTCCAAACCCTTCCCCAAATCTGTTGTCCTTCTCTGGACATGCTGCAGTCCCTCAATGTCTTTCTTGCCATGAGGGGCCCAGAACTGGACACGGCACTCGAGGTGTGGCCTCACCAGTGCCCAGTGCAGAAGGACAATCACTTCCCTGGGCCTGATGGCCACAATATTTTTGGTACAGGCCAGGATTCCATTGGCTTCTTGTCCAGCTGGGCACATGCTGGCTCATGTTCAACCACCGTTGACCAGCACCCCCAGGTCCTTTCCCACCAGGCACTCCCAGCCACTCTTCCCCCAGCCTGTAGCTGGGGTTATTGTGACCCACGTGCAGGACCTGGCGTTTTGCCTTATTGAACCTCATGCAGTTGTCCTCAGCCCATCGATACAGCCTGTCCAGATCCCTCTGCAGAGCCTTCACACCCTCCAGCAGATCAACACTCCCGCCCAACTTACTGAGGGTGCACGCCATCCCTTCGTCCAGATCATCAGTAAAGACATTAAACCTTGGGAAGATCTTACCTGGTGTGAATTGCTGTAAAAGCCTGGAAAGACATTTTGAAAGTAGAATTAGCATAGCACAGGCCAGCCCAAGAGCTGTGTATCTCTGGGAAGGGAGATGTTGTTAGGTACCTTGGTGAAAAGAAGTACATCTTTCTGATTTCTCAGAGCCTCCAGCTCCTGAACATCATGGCTGGCTGAATGCTTCTGCTTTTCATGCTTCTTTATCTCCTTCTGAATCTGAGAAAGTTGTTGCTTCTCATGGTCACTGAGAGCTTTCAGGATCTCACTTTTTTTTTTCTCTAGCTGCAGATTGATCTCTCTGAATAGGTTCTCCAGCTGTTCCCTCTGCAGACTCTGCTTAGTCTATTAAGAAAACACTTTCAAAGCTGTAAGGGACTGTGTAGGGACATTTTCCACACAAGCTCTCACTCACAGAAAAGGGCTTGTTCTTTTCTGGGATGAGAGAAGTAACTAAAAATTGAATAAGGTTGGAAAAATAAAAAAGCCACACACCAGCCACTCATCAGGAGGCATGGATTTAACAACAACTTTCAAGTTTAACTAAGAATGTACCTCCCAGACTGATAAGAAAGTTGTTCATCATCCTCCCTCAAAGAAGAAACCTCAGAAATACATGAGAAATCACCCAGGATCTAAAAACCTTCAGAATCCATGATCTGGGAAAGGGCAAAAGAAAACCTTATCAGTTTACCAGCATGCAACCATCCCCAAAGTGATATGGAGCCTTGGAACAAACCTCTACTTCCTTCTCTTGTTTCAGCAGCTTTGCTATATTTTGATCCAGCTGAGCTTCATACTTTTTCACTTGTTTCAGAGTTTCAGGAAAAACACTCTACAAATATAACCAATGGGAGATATCAGGATAGGACTCACACACATGCATGAAACCAGCAATTTTATAGACATAGGCTAAGCTAGACTTGACAAAGGTTTGCTCACTGCATGCTCTCAGGACAAATCAACACAGAAAGGTTTACTGTGAGATTTTATCCCTGAACAAATGCCTCAATTACTAGCACAAGAAAAATAATTTGAAACTGAAAACTGTTCATGTGTAATAGCCACACACAAAGCTACTTCTGCTGCTGGCAGCTTCCCTTCTATTACTCTCTCATTAATTTTCTTTGCATAACTGCAGCTCAGGCTGATCTTTGGCTTGGAAGAGCACCGAGTGCACCAAAGCCACGAGCATGTGGTCCCACCAGTTTGCCCAAACTCTCCCCTCAGCACGGGAAGAAAGTGTTTACAACATCTTGTTTTACATCCCAGGGGCCAAGCCCAGAGGGAACCTGGGACTAAACCAAGAATAAAAGCCCAAGATGGGAATTCAACCCCATTCTGGGTCTGCAGTTCTGAAACTCGGGAGGAGTTCCAGCCCGGTGCTGCGGGCAGCTCTCCGTGCAGCAGCGCCCCGTGGTTTCCCTAGTGCAATCCCTGATCGAGCCGCTGTCCCGGCAGCCTCTTACCTGGGCATGGCCAAAAGCCTCCTCCAAACTGATGATCTCGTGGTCCTTGTGGGAGCTGAGGACAGAGCACAGCATGCAGATGCAGACCTTGTCCTGCGTGCAGAAGCATTCCAGCAATTTGCCGTGCTGGGGGCATTTCCTCTCAGCCAAAGCCTCGGCGCCACAGGGCTCCACCAGGACGTGGTTTCTCTGGATGTTCTTTGTGCTGTGCTTGCTCAGGTGGGCTTGGCACAGGGAGGCCTCGCAGGTCAGGCAAGTCTTCACGGCTGGCTGAGGCTCCTGAAGGCAGAAATCACACAGGATCACCTCCTCTTGCTGCCTCGAACTTTCCTCCTCCTCTTTGCATTGCACTTCCTGCTCTTCCTCCTCTTGATGAGCAGAAGCATCCAAAAAGTTCTGCGCTATGTTGCGGAGATGGAAGTTGGGCTTCGGCTTCCCGGCTTGGTCTATGGGGGTAAGGCAGAGTGGGCACCTGGAAGGGCCCTGCTGGCATTTCTGTTCCTCCTGGATGCACACCTCGCAGAAGCTGTGACCGCACCCCAGGGACACGGGGTTCCTGTAAACATCCAGGCAGATGGGGCAGGTCAGCTCGTCCTTCAGCCGGGCCGCAGCGCCCGCCTCGACCATGGCGCCCCAGCCTCGCCAACAGGGCTGAGAGCAAGGAGCGAGGCACTGTGGGGAAACGAAACTGAAAGCGGCAGTGGCGCAGGGCCTCCCGTTTGCTCTGCGGGCAAAAAGCTGCTGCCTCCTCCCCCTTGCAAGGGAGGGTCTTCCCTTTCCTCCGCCGAGCTTTCCGCGTCCCGCCCGCTCCGCCGCAGAAGCCTTGGCCGTCACAGGACGAGTTCAGTTCAGCAGCTCAGAGCTGGGAGCTTGGCTGCTTGAAGGGTAACAGGGCAAATAGTCCACCAGCCCTGCTTACACGGGGCTGCAGCAGCCAGGACTCGGAGCGGGAAGGAAAGCTGGCAGGAGTCCCTGTGGGCATGGGGCAGCTGGACCAGCAGGGAGAGAGGTCCCCGAGCTGGCAGGGAGCAAAAGAACCAAACCTGTCCCTCTTCACCTCTGCAAAGACACCTGGATGGACCTGTACAACAAACTGGGACTGATAAATGCTGAGAGTGGGCAAATGCATCCGTTACTTAAAAGTGCAGCCTCCTGAGTCCCTGGACAGACCTTGAGTGGCCCAAAGCTGAGGTCTGTGTCAGGGAGTGGGAAGCAGAGCCCAGGGCAGGATTTGGTGTCGGCTGGCACTGCTCAAGGCACAGGTGGGAGCTGCAGCTCCAAAGAGCAGCCCAGGACAGCTCACTGGGCAGTGAAATGAAGTCCAAGCAGCAGGTGTTTCACACTGGTCAGGGGTAGGAGCCTGGGGTGTGCTACCCATGCTACCCTGCTGCCCACACTGCCTGCCAGGTGCTAGCTAGCCCATGGCAGTGACCAAAGCTGTTCTGTTCACAAAAGCTCATGATTGACTGATTTTCCCCTCTCACAAGGCACACTGTGCTTAGCCCAGGAGATAGATAACACTGCCTCCCTCCCCTCCAGCAGCTGGAGAGGAGCCCTGTAAGATACTACAAAAGCAGTGCCTGTCTGTGTGAAAAGGAGCTGTTTTATCACTAAGTTATGCCAAAACGAAAACTATCCCACCGGCTTTTTCCAAATGGTTGGAACTAATTGCTGGGACTAATGGAGCTGCTGAACTGATGTTGACATTCACCAACAGCCCCCTTCGGTCTCTAGGTCTGCTCTCAAAAATTATCCCCAGTTAGCAATTATACTTGATAAACAATATCAGTTGTTTATTTTCCAGGAAGCTGCCTGGGAGGCACAGGTCAGGCTGGGAGGACAAACCTAAACTGTGGGTCTCTCTCTCCCTGCAGACCTTTCCTTTATGTTCTCCAGCCTTGGAACCCACTCCCGTGCCTCTGCTCCTGCATGAACCCACCCTGGGCACATCAGCACTAGCTGCCTCAGCAGCATCCCCACATTTCCCCCCTGCAAGTTCATGTTTTCATCTGTCCTGGCACTGTCACTGTGCCTGATGTATTTCAGAAAAATACTCCTGGTTTGGTGGCCCTGAAGCCTGCTGGTTTTGGAAAGCCGCAGGAATAGGCTTCCAATCAGTTCTCCACTTGAAGCAGTCACAGGGATGAGGGCTGGGTTTGGGGTGGGATGCTGGTTCTGGCTCTGTGGCTGGGCTGAGTGACCCACACTGGGTTCCTACCAACTGTGCTGGAGACAGACAGGTGTGCAGCTGCTGCCTAAATCGGTGCATACCTGCAAAAAACCAGTAGCTGGGACAGCTCAGCACCTTGCAGACCTGCTCCTTTCAGGCTGCCGGGATCTTCCTGCTCCGCCGCATCATGAAGGCACGTTCTTGATAAATCCAGTGCAACCTCTCTGACCTGGTGAGCCCTCACAGGGGCTGGCACAGGGCTCCCGTGTGCCAGATGCTCCAGGGCAGCTGCCTTCTATCCCATTGCTTCCACAGCCTGGGCTCCCCCGATGACCAGGACACCAGGACACCCTGTGCTGGGACACAGGGGCTGTGCCTCTGAGAGAGCAGGCTGGCTCCCGGGGGACTGCTCTCCTGCTTCCAAGGGGACTGTCCAGGTGCCATCCTCAGCTGTATGGCTGCTGCATCACCATCTGGAGTCTTTTCCACACTTTTTCTTGCTCTCTTACTCCCACTCAAGCAAATTTGAGGTGTATGCCCCACTTCATCTTTAACCCTCCCAGTCAGGAAGGTTTCTCCTGCAATGTGACATCAGAACAGCTCCAAAGTCCAGAATACAGAGCCCTGGCTTTTCCTGCACAAATTAAACTGGAAGAAGCCACACTTAAAATAGCGATATACAGGGATATTACCACACAGGAGCCATATCCCTGTCACTGGTGTGAGCGAGCTGGGGGGTTCTGCTACCCCCATGGCCCCAGACATGCCCCCACAGTCCAGCTGCCCAGGCAGATGCAGGAGAGCACCTTCAGCAGAGCAAAACACCTCCTCCCCGAAAACAGCCTTGCACTAACAAATTAAAATATAGCAGCACAAACTTGTTCTTTTGTTTTTTCTCTCCACTTTATAGTATATATGTTATCGTTTATTTATAGGCAGATCACTTCACTATTTACAGTACATGAGCGTAGAGATTCTACAGTCTTTTTGATGTAAACAATTAACTCCGCGGCAGGGGAGTCTGGAAAAAGAAGCCAGTTCTGAAGTATTTACACAATTTAAAATAGAACTTTTATACCCACTGGATAGATATAGAGAATACATTGAGCGATTTGGTTAAATTATCTATGAAACTATAGAATCTGACAATGTAAAAATACAAGAAAACGTTCTCTTATTTTAGAAGGTAGAGAGTTAAATCACACTAGAAATAAATCTCTTTTTTTTAAAAATAATAACAATAATAATAAAGGAAAGGCATAAGAATCCATGCCATCTTTTAAGGTTAAAGTATATTACATAAATAAGGACACAACAGAAAGGAACTGGGGAAAAAATTAAGTGAAATATAAAAAAAACCACTACCAATTGAAAAAAACCCCACATACTAAAAACTTGATTCTTTATCACAGTGGGATCAATTCTGCTACTTTTACTTACTCTGCAAGTAGAAAATTGCAGTTAAGTAGTACTTACTCATCATGAGCAAGAGAGGCAGAATTGGCCCCAAATAATTATGAGAAGTGTCCTTTTACTTAAAAACAGGAAAAAAAAGGAAGAAAAAGACAGAGTTTAGCTTTTTTTTTTTTTTCCATAAATAACAAAGCAGATGTGCCCCTTTTTAGGTGAAATTCTTACACCTTTCTCAAGAAATGCATCAATTTAACTGTTCTGTTTCTCGCATGCATACACTCTCCCTCCCCGACTCTGTGTTGCAGCCAAGCTGCTGCTGCTGCCCCTGACCCCAGGGAGGGTGAGGGAAGAGGAATGAAACCCCAAGGCTGCGTTTGGCTCTATATTGCTTGAGATTGTCGGGGATGGACTACGATGCTTAGAACAGAAAGGGTGTCAGGTTCAGCTTCGAACACTGATGTATCTTAGGATTCAGCATACCTCCAGGAAGAGGGAAAAGAAAACAAAAAGAAAGGATAAAACCGTGTTGATCTGCAATTGCAATACTCCTTTGCATGGACCAGAGCTGAAATCAGACAGGACTGTAACGTGGTGACTGAGCTGCTGCTTCATTCAAGATGTGCAGCCCAGCCAGCTGCGCTGAGGAATCGGGAGAAACATTTTCTTTGGGGCAGCACTGAACCTAAAACCTGGGATTGTCCTCTGCATTCAGCCCACACACTCAGAAACATTTGCTCCTTCCTGCGGAGCCTCAGGGACCCACTGGATTCCAGCCAGGAACCCAGCATTCCACCCTGAACAACGAGCTTTTCTGGGGCAAACCTGTGCAAAACAAGCAAAGGGGCATTTCATCATGAAACTCGTCACATTCAGCATTTCCCCACAGCACCCACAGGAAGTGACTGGGGGACATTCTATAATTACATATTTTTAAAAAAATAAATCTCCTCCTGACTTATTGCCTACCGAAGTAAACCCTTTTGCTCCCAGTTTCTCTCTGAAGCTGCATTCCCACCTGTCCCACGGCCCCCTCGCAGGGAGCTGGGGTGTGAGGGTTCCCTTTTTGGAGTGCCCAGCTCTGAGCTGCACCCGCCCCAGGGCACCCAAATTGATGCCACAGGCTGGGTGGGACATAAAGGCAATGTTTGGAGCAAGGGGGATCCCCACTCCCTGGCAGCTCCTGGCTTTCCTGGTAGCACTGTCTGCCTCCCCCCACACAGTGCCCAGGCATTGCTTTGCTCCTGCCCCACTTCCCTGTCAGCATCTAAAACAGTCACAGGCTGCTAAGGGAGGGAGCTCACACCTGCCCCTGTGCCCGAGCCCACCTTCCTGCCCCTGTGCAGACTCGAGCACTGTGAGTTAAAGACACCTTTATAGTAAAAAGAACCCTCCCCCCAGAAAAAAAAAAATGAAGTGGAAACTTGTTTTTTACCACAAACCCTGCATGAGGGACTCTAAACCCAGAAGAGCTGCTCTCTCCACTCTCACCCAATCCTAAAATTTGGAGGAAGCCACTGGGGCAGGCAGCACACGTCCCCAGGACATGCAGCACACAGCCCATGAGGCTCTAAGCATAGTGCATAAGATCTGGAAAAAATTTCTTGGGGAGGAGGGAAAACAAACCATCCCAATTTAATGGGGGAAAAAAAAAAAGTAAAAACCCAAAGAAAAGAAAACCCAACCCCACTTATAGGCTTCAGGCACCTCGAAGACCACTTATTGCATCTCTTCCTACCCTACGACTGCAGTACTGATCAGCTCTGTGCAGGACCAGCCCTCCCCTTCCCAGGCACTGCTCTCAGGATCCAGCAGCTGGGCACAGGCAGGGGCTGTGGGCCAACCTGGGGTGCCCAGCTGCAGGAAAACAATGTGAAATTTTTTATCTGGATACACCAAAACCAGTGCTTGGGAAGCGACTGAGTGATCCTCCAGGAGTGGGCTGGAGCCCCCCCCCAACTCTGCACTAACCCTTCCCCTCCACCACACTTGATGCATCCCCAGTGGGGCCCAGCCATGGGTGCCCCTGGCTGAGTGGGAGATGGAAGAATTCCACTTACTTAGCTATTTTGTTTTTGTTTTTGTTTTTTTGTTGGGTTTTTTTTTTTTGGATTGATCGTTTTCTGAAAAACATCAGCACAGCACAGGACAGTACTACCCACCCTAAATGTGTCGCTATATACATTCTACGTAAGCTCTATAGCAATCACATGTAAACATCATCATCGTGAGGAAATACTAGGACAGAAAAAGGCAAAGCTACAATGAGGCAATTGCCAATAGCAGATGCTCAGTCTCGGCCAGAGCTGCTCGTGTTCACTAAGGTGTGATGAGAAGTGGGGGGGGTTGTGGCAGGAGAGACACCAAACCTTACTGTGAGGCTGAAATGGCACAAGGACTGTTCCCTGGCAGTGATCGTCACTGGTGGCTGACTGGGGACCCTGCGGTGGCCTCTGGGCCCTCGCACTGCCGGGCTGGTTGTTGTCAGAACCACGGCTTTCCCGAAAGAAATAGCCAGGGAACTGTGCTGGTGTCAGCGCTGCCGGCATTCCTGCTCCCACCAGAGACCAGCTGCACTCACAGCCCCAGAGCCAGGGGCCATCCCAGCAGGGCTCAGGCTTTTGGCATCAAACCTTGTGCAGTTTCAAAGGTTTTGGTCATTCTCCCTGCAAGACGAAACATACCCACGCCAGGAAATGAGAATAAAACCCCTAAGTCATGTCGAGGGGAGACCCCAGGAGACTCTAATCTATCTATTGGCAGAGTTAAGGCTATAATATTCTATCTACATAGGATGGCTGAATCCCTAGTGGTCTCTGGGGAGGAAAAATAAAAGGAGACAATGGAAATGGCTTGAGGAGCAGAGAGATTCCCACTCCCTCAGGAAACAGTGCCTCTGGCCAGCTGATGGTGGGGTTTGCTCCAGCTAGAAGTGGGCTCTCTCCCCATCCCAACTCACCCAGAGATGGAGGGCAAGTCCGCAGGCAAATCTCATGCTTGAGCATTCCTTAAATCCAGTTCTGAGGGCCCCTGGCCAGAGGCAGAGCAGGCAAACGTGCTGGGGGGCACTGGTGGGCACGGGGACGGATCCTGGGTGCCGAGTGGGTGCTGGGAAGTGTATGGCTTATCAAGCAGTGGGTGGAGGGCGGGGGGGTGCTGGGTGGGCAGACACTCGGCATGGGTGCTGTGCCCCCTCCCACCTCTCTGGAATTTGACCTGGCTGCCCAGCGGGGATCACAGGCGGGTCTTCTCACCCTGCTTGTTTGCAGGGGCTGGAAGTGAGTGCAGAGCAAACCATTTGGCCTGGCTGGTCTCCCAGCCATCCGAGGGGCTGGAGAGAAGCCGCATCCCTCATACTGACCCAGAGATACCCATCCCCCAGGCTGTGCCAGCAGGACCCGCTGGATTCAAGCCTGGCTGGCTCCAACCCCCCGACCCCTCCCTCCTGGCTCCAAAGGCAGCGGAGGGCTGGAGCAGTGCTGGCTGCAAGTAGTGCATCTTTCTTCCACCCCTCTCCTTCCCACGTGCAAAGCTGTCTGGCCCTGGCTCAATCAAGCATCAGGACCCAGCTCAGCATTTGGGTGCTGCTGGGGGGCTCGGGCCACATGAGCAAGAAGAATGGCTTTGACAGCAAAGTGGGTGACCCCAGCACGACCACCGAGCACCCTGGTTTGTCAGCGGGGGAGGCAGGTGAATGTCGGCTCTGGGACTCTGCTCTGACCCCCCATTTGCTGAGTGGCAAGTGCCTCATTACAGTGCATAGTTAAAAATCAAGGAAGCGGTACAATAAATCTGAATTACAGTACATCTGAGCCATAAATACATTTTTTTAAGTATATACTTTTTTTTTTCTCTTCTTCTATTAAAAATTAGTTTATAATCCTGATTCTATTCACAATTAACAATTTCATCATCACACACTACAGACAAAAAAATGTTATGGTGAACACAGCTGCAACTCCACGGCGGGAGCACGGGGAGGGCCGGGAGGGGGAGAGGGGCCGGGGGGCTCCTAGGCTCACCCTAAAACAACCAGTCAGAAGCGGAGGGACTAACGTGTGGCAGTGAGACATCAACACCATGGGGACTCACAGACAGAAGCAGCTTTGTTCAATGTAAACATCGATCAGAAGGGACAGCAGTCTCTCTCTCGCGCGTGCGTGCTCTCGCTCTCTCTCTCGCTTTCCATAGACTGAATAATTTCTTTGAAAACGTAAACATATTGGAAGTGCCTTGACTGAGGTATTGAGGTATTCCTCCAAGGTTAAGGCTGTTACCGATGCAGGCTTAGCTGGGCCTCCTGCAGCAAGCTATCGAAATCCATGGTCTCGTACTTGCTTTTCACGGGAGCTGGGGAGGATTCCTCCGTGCCGCAATCTGGGAATGGCAGGGACAGAAGGCAGCCAGGTCAGGGAGTGGGGCACCAGCGTGCTCACTGCCTGGTGGGGATGGAAACTGAGGCACGGTAGGGCACTGCTCATTGCCCTGCTACCACAGAGTCAGCCTGGATGCAGCAGTGATGGCACAAGGGATTGGGATGGTGCTGTCTCTCCCTCATTGGAAAGAGCTGTGGGCAGAGGGGCTGCAGCAGGGCCCAGCTGGGCCTCGTTTTCCAGGTGTGCAAAAATCTGCTCGATGCAGCCAAATTTGCAGGAGCTGAAACAGGTCACGGGGAGGGGGATGCCTGCCTGCCTCGCTCCCAGACCCCTGCCAGAAGCTGAACACCCAGTGCCCCTGGAAAGCCTGGGGAATTCAGTACATGCCAGAAATAAGGCTGCCTAATTTAACAGCATCTTAAAATGTTAAGTGTATATTTTTGAATGGCATGGTTGCATTTCACTTCAGTCTGTGGGGTCTGCGTCTCATGTGTCCTGTACCAGGACAAGCAGGAATTTAGGAACAAGTCAAGCTGTGCAGCCTGAGCTGCAGAGCAGCCCTACACCCCACAGAGGGACATGGTCCAGCGAGACCCTGGGAGACATGGTCACTGAGTAAAGCAGGAGGCCTTGCCAAAGCTCAGACAGCACTGAAAGGCTTAATGCGACCACAGCACATCTCAGTGCCATCAGTTTGGCTCAAAAGTGCATGTGCAGTGTGGTGAATCTCTCCTGCGGAGCAGCAAACCACCCAGATCACCTACTGGTCTAATGAAATGCTGCTGACTGCTTTCTCTAACAACTGGGATGGGAGTTTTCTGCTGGAAAGCCTCCAGGGCTGTGCAGAAATGCAGCAGAGATGGGCTGTGGTCAGCTGAGACCCAGCAGCCCTGGGGTGTGATGCTACATTTTGCAGCCAACACACCCTGGGGCCTCACGCCAGTTGCTCTTCTCTCTCCCCCAGTTTCCCAAGCCACCTGACTGAGCTAAGAACAGCTATGTGAGCCACAGGAAAGCCCGTAGGCTTTTCCTGAAGGCTGTAAACATGTCTGGGATCCTCGTGTGACCAGGGCTCAGCAGTGCTGTTACATTCTGTGCTGATAAGACTCCTGCTTTCTTACCCAAGTCAGCATATCTGGTCCAGAAGAAGCGCCCAAGGCCACCAGAGCTGAGCTGGAAGGAAGGCTCATTCCTCTTCCTTAGCGAGGGGCCGTTCTTCAGAGATAAGGCGGCATGCTCTGAATACCGGTAGGTGATAAAGCCGTATTTATCCCCCCTGAGCAACCAGAGAAAGAATTCAAGATGTGATGGGCCCCACAGCCCTGCTGACACAGTTGTGCCCAGCACTGTGCCCCTGTCCCTCCATCCCGCTGTCCCTCCCTCCCAGCAGACCTCCCCATGCCCTTAGATCATGGACACACCGCATCTCCTTGCCAAAAGCACCAAGACCACAGGCTCAGCTGACTGAGGGGTTGGTGTGGCACCTCCTGGCAGTGCTGATGGCACCTGGGGAGAGGGGCTGCCTGTAGCTGCCTGGACCACAGCTCACTGCCCACTCACCTGTTAGTCCTGGACAGGACCTGACACTCCACGATTTCACCAAACACCTCGAAGCGTTTCTTCAGTTCGCTGGAGCTCATGCTGCTGGAGAGGTTTCTGATGTACACAACCCGGCCTTCCCCCTGGCAAAGCAAGTGAAAGGTTTCAAGCTCCAGGACCTCACACCTCCATGCTGATGGGCACTGGAAATGTGGGGCTGTTGAGGAGCCCCTGTAAGCCAGCACTGGGATACAGTGCCATGGGCATGGCCTGACATCTCCAGGATCTGGTTTTTTCCACTCCAGCCAGCTCAGGGTGTCAGACCCAGGACACCACTGCTGCAAGGGACAGCCATAGTCAGGCTGGAGCAGCTACACCCCCTTCTTCTCTTTTAGAATTCCTCTGCATTTTTGCAGCTCTTTCAGCTTCTCCTAAAGATGTGAGAAATATTCCCAAGAATTGCTAGGGGCAAAATCCAATTGCATTGCAGAAAAAAATGCCAAAGTGGCACACGTGTGTGTGTGTCTGTGTGTGTGTGCACTGTGTGTGAGTGCACTGTGTGTGCACAACAGTACGGAGCAGCAAGTTACTGTCCCACATCCCCACCCCTCTCCCAGCTCCCACCCGTGGGCACACACTCGTTTCCTGGTGCACGAGGATGCAGCAGGGCCACATCTGTAACGGCTGAGCAGCTCCAGGGATTCCCCAGCTCACCCCCCAAACTGCCGATGCCAAGTGTGCTGAAGCACCAGCGTAGGATGCTCTGGGCATTTCTGTGCCAAGGACTCCATGTGTTGCCAATTGCTGGTGGCTTCCGCTCCAGGTTGGGTTTTTCTCTCCCTCCTCCACCCCCATGTCCTTGTTTAACATTGGCCTTGCACCAAGGGATGCTGAAGCCAGGGCTAATGGGCTCCACTGCTGCTTTTCTGGAGTGGGAGATGAACTGAGGGCTGGGGATTGCTTTGTCCTAGCGTGGGGTCCCCCCACTTACGATGGCCTTTTCCCGTCTCTTCTCCAGCTGGCCCCGGTGCCTGCTCCCGCCCTGACACTGCTCGCCGTTCTCACACCTGGGAAGCAAGGGAGAGGAGATCAGCCTGGGATGGGGGAAGCTGGTGGGGAAAGCTTCAAACATCAGCGATAAGCCGAGGCTTGTGGTGGCTGCAGCAGCAGGTGGACACTCCAGTGCACTGGCAGCCAAAGAGAAATGGGGATCTAGAAACACTGGAAAGGACACTGGAAAGTTTTTTTCTGATAGATGCCAGAGGGTGTCTTGAACAGGCACTCACCTCTTCCCAGGCTGGGCTCAGGTGCCTGCCCATGCCCTGTCAGCCACAGAAACCCCTGGCTGCTTCGCCCCGCTGCTGCTTCCTCTGGCCATGGCTGATGTTTGCAGCAGTGGCTGATGTAGAACCAATTATTTTTATAGCTTTTCTTTCATTAATTAGCATCTTTACTACTTGGGCCAGCAGAGCAGAGAGGACTGGGGCTGCCCTGCACCATGGAAAAACACAGCAGGCAAGAATGATCCCAAGGTCCCCGTGCCCCCCTACCTAAAGGTGCGTCTGCTGGCAGGTGATCGCGACCGGCAGCACGAAGACCCCGAGCTGGACCTGCTCCGAGAGCAGTAATGCAAACTGGTCCTGGAAAGGGGGTTTCTCCTCAGGCACAGCTTGTTGTTGCCATGCTCCTCCTCCTCCTCCTCCTCCTCCTCCTCCTCTTCCTCCTCATCCTCCTCCTCCTCCACAGGGGAGCCGCTCTCACTGCAGCTGTCTTCAAAGACGGTGTCGTACTCAGGGGTCTTGCAGAAAGCCATGTCCTCGTCATCGAGAGCACTGTCCAGGAAGCCAAAGTGCTTTGTTAAGCTGGCTCTGATCTCCTGGTCTCTCAGCTGCTTGATGCCTTCCTTCCACAGCATCTCGCCGCCTGCCTCCTTGCCGAGGTCCAGTCCCTGGTAGTGGGCAGCCGGGACCCTCCTCTTGTGCTCTGTCTCCACTTGGCTCGTGGGCTCCCACGACTTGAGCACCTTCCTCTGCAGGGCAGCCTCGGGTTTGAGCACCTGGCAGTAGTCGTGGTCCCCAAAGGAGCGGGAGAAGGGCCTCTTGAGCAGGCCCTGCTGCTCGGGGAGCGTGGGGCGTGCGGCGGCAGCTCGGCTCAGGTGGGCGAAGAGCTCCGTCCTCTCAGGGTGCTTCCTGGGGGCTTTCTGGGAGGCTGCCACGTCCCCTGCACCCCCAGGGCTGGGGGCCATCCCTTCCTCCTTCCCTGGCTCCTGAGGGATGTCTGGCTTGTACAGGTCCTCCTCAGCAGGCTTGTATGGCGGAGTGGTGGGTGGTGTGAGACCTGGAGCCCCCAAACAAAGGACAAGAGTCAGCTCTGCCCCCACCATCCTGCCCTATCCCACCCCAGTGCCTGGGTTGCACCAGTATTGCAGGGGAGGAGGCTGCCTAGCCCCACAGCCTCATCCATCCAGTGACACTTGGGGAAAAGGAAGGATGCCTGATCCCAGCAGGGACCAGAGGACTCTCCCTTCCCTCCTGGCTCATGCAGGGGCTCCCTGACCAGCTCCTGCCACCCCAAACACATTCCCCTGAGGTGCTCACAGTGCTCAGATGTGACAGGGTGTCTCCCATGTTCATAGTGAGAAGAGGATGAATGTGCTCCCTTGGGTGGGTAGGCTGGAGCTGATGACTCCAGACTGAATTTTGGGTAAACCTGCCCTCTCCCATTTTGCAAAATGGAGGAATTTTGCAAAACCCAAAACTTAAAAGCCTGTCCTACCTGCTGTCCCACACAGCTCCACGGTCAGCATTGGCTCAAAGTTTCTCTTCCCAAAGGCTGGGTCACTGGAGGAGAAAATCAGGAGGGAGGAAGTTTTTAGGGGAATCATAGTCCCAAAACCCAAAGGGAAGCTGAGAAAATGATACCTACAAGTGAGCTCTCCCACTATGGCTAGTGCCTGATGGAGGGGTGTGAGGGCAGTGGGGTGAGCAGTGTGCCCTCCCCGTCCCAGCGAGCGCTGTGGGGCACACACAGAAATGCCCTGCCCTCAGCCTGGGGCTCTCCTGGCTCCTGGTACCCAAGTGATGGCTGTGGCTCCCCACAGCCCTGTGCCCAGCTGGGTGGCTCAGTCTGCTCTGCAAAAGCAGCTTTGCGTGCTTGCAGCAGAGGTTTGGCCCAGCTACACAAACCAAGGTGGTTTCCCAGCCCCAGCATAGTTCCTTCAACCCCATGTGCACTTACGTTTGTGCCAAGGACAGCGTGAGACACCTGGGTGTTTCTGAAAGGCAGGAGAGAAGCAGGTTACCAGTGGAGCTGTACTCCCTGCAGCGCCTGACGTGGGCAGGGGCTGGGCACTGGGGGCTTTGCCCACCTGAGGGAGAGGGTTCACACTGCCAGGGCTGAGCCATTCATGCTCATAAGGCACTTGCAGACAGCTGTGGTTTTAGGGCACTGCTGCAGCTGTACCCTAGAGCTCAGGCACAGTGTGAGCCCATGGGCAAGAGGGACCTGTAGGGATGGGGCTGCCTGGTCCCTGCTGTGTGAGCACTACACCAGCTCTTTCATCTCGATACAAGGATGGGGAAACAGGAGCAGAAGGCCCCCATGGATTGAAACAGCATCCCAAAACCAGAGCAGGCCCCCCCTCCCCATGCATGGGACCACAAAGCCAGCCAGGACATGGGGCTGTGCTTGGGGCTGCTCACAGCTTTACCGCCAGCTGAGTGCCCAGCACCTGGCCAGTATGGCTTTGCCACTGCAGGGATGGCACAGGCAGCATGGACGCACAAGGGAGGGCTGAGCAGAGTGACAGCCCGCGGCCCCCTCACCTGTTTGCTCCAGGAGGGCACAGCGCCGGCTCTCAGCCCCGATTCCCACCTCAGCATCCACTGGGGAACCCAGGGAGAGGGGCTGGGGCTCCACCGATGGTGCTGTGCCCCCCACCTCCACTTCAGCCGCAGGCTCTTCAGCAGAGAAGCCCTCCAGCACCGGGCATGGTGCAGACTCTCTGCAGGCCAGGGGCACGGAGGGCTCGGGGGGTGGCTCATCAAGGAAGGAGAGCCAGTGCCCGAGCTCGGGGTTGAGTCTCTTGGACCGGCGGACGGCGTAAACAGTGTTATCCTGCTTGCGGGCCACCTTCCCCACGGCTGTGCCTGGGGTGCCCTCTTGCTTCCCACCATCGTCCTCGTGGCCAAACAGCTCCCGCGGTGCCTCTGCCTCAGCCCCAGGGCTCTGCCGTGGCTCACCCTTCTCCGGTGCCGTTTTCACTCTGGAGGTGCAAGTCCCACTGGCATCCTCCCCATCCCGGGTGGGCGGCACAGGGGAGCAGGAGCCGGGCGGCCGTGCCAGGGCAGCGTACACGGGCTTGCCCAGGCGGTATGGCTTGCTCACGTCACACAGCAGGTCCCGCGCCAGCAGCTCCTTCAGGATGGAGAAGGATGCTCCGGGCTTCTTGCAGCCCCCGGCTGCCTGCCAGGCACAGCCTGGCCGGCTCTGGGCGCTGCCAGCGGGGCCCGGCTGGGCGGGACAGTCCGGTTTGGCTCTCTTGAAGGGGCTGCTGCAGGGCTGGGGCTTGGCGTCGGCGGCGTCGCGGGCGGGCAGCTTCCGCGGCGGCAGGCAGTAGGTGTGCATGTAGCGGATGAGCTCCACCACGGAGTGCATCTCCCCCTCGCAGGAGAACTGGCTGCCGGAGCCGTCCTCTGCTGAGGAGAGGGGCGTCACCGAGTCGCCGGAGCTCAGCGAGTCCTCGCTGGAGTCGCTGTCGTCCTCGTGATGGGCGCAGTCGCCCGGGGACGGGTGGTGGCCACCGCTGGGGCACTCCTCAGGTGTCTGGGGGGCTTTGGTCTGGGAGCAGGGGGTGGTGGAGGTGAGGTGCCGGTGCAGTTCGGTGCAGCTGCGGCTCTGTGCCTGCGGGACACTCGCCCTCCTGTCCCGGGAACCCTCCACCTTTGGAGAAGAGAGAGAAGAAAATCAGACCCAAGCCCCAGAGGACCTGACACAAGTACCTGGAATGTGGAGAGAAGCCCTCCATGTTGACAGAGCCAACCCACATCCTCAAACCTCCCAGTTCCGGCTTAGAAACACCCCAAGCTGTCCAGGGGTCAGGCCCCTGCCCCAAGCACTGCACACAATGATGCTCCTTCCAGGGAGGAATCTACTGCTCTTCCCAGGCAATCTAATTTGCCAGGCCTAATGCACTGCACAATAACCATTAGCAAAGTAGAAAAATCTTTGATGGCAACTTCTGCTGGGTTTCAGATCAGCTTAAGTGAGGGGTGGGCTCTGCAGCATGGCATGCAGCTCTCCTGGCTCATGGCCCCTGGCTTGGGCTGAGAGTCAGCAGAGAAGGGGATGAGGGAGCACATAGGGCTTTGACAAATGGGCACCTGGGGAAGCTGGGAGAGGCTGAACCACACGAGATCCAAATGAGATCGAGGCATTCCTCAGCCCAGTGCAGACAGGGATGGGAACACCACATGTAGGAATAGGTATGCCCTTTTCGGAAGTATTTGTAACAGGAAAAGTTAGAGCAAATTGTTGCTTAAGGAGACCTTCTGTCTAAGAACAAAATCCTTTTTCAAGGATGGGGGAAGTGTTTCATTCCCTCCTGTGTCCCTCTGGTCTGAGCAGAGATAAACTCTCAGGATGTTACAGGCTGTGCCTCTCTTGAGGCTGCGAGAGGGAGGCCAGCAGAGATAAGAAACCTGGAAAAGATCAGGGGGAGTTACTTTCTCAGGCTCAACGCTCTCACTGCTGGTGCAAAGATTTAATTTATAAGTTTTTAGTGTCTTTGCCTCCAAAATAAACCTTTCTGAAACCTTTCCACTGCCTTGGCATTTCTGGGGAAAATACCTGTGAATATTTTACTTTACACCGCAGGTGGTGGTCTCTGCCCGTCCCCAGCCCCTTGCCCAGCTCAGAGGCTGCCCATGCTCCCTGACACCATCCTTCAGTGCCTTTCTTTAGGTCAGCTCCTGAGAGGTGGGCGCTGCACAGGCTCAAGCTCTGCCCATGAGGAATTACCTTCGTGCAGGGCCGTGCTGGTCGGGATTTTGGGGTCCCCGGGCGCCGGGCACTCCCGTCCCGCTGAGCCTCACAGCTCGGAGGCATGTGCGATGGAGAGAGGAGCAACTTCTTCAGCTGCAAAGAGAAGTGGCAAGAAAAGGAGTCGGCATCGCAGTGAGGGCAAGAGAAAGCGCCGGCAGGGCTGCAGCCCCTTGGCTCACGCGTGCCCAAAAATGGGGCAGGAAAAATCTATGGCAGGGAGGAATTTCCCACCCCACCATGGCTGTGGGGGCAGGTGCCTGGCCATGTGCAGCCCTGAGGGGGTCAGAGCTGTCTCTACAGCACTCACCCATGTCCCCAGGGACCCTCAAGCAGGTTGGGGAAGTGCAGACATGAGAGAATCTACTTCCCAGGGGCAACCCCACTCCTGTCAGACACACAGGAGCTCCTGTGGCATCCAAACTTCTTATTCCATCAATTCCACCCTTAGGTGACAGAGGCTTTGTGCTGATATGAGTGACGGGTTTGGACAACTCGCTTGTGTCCCCGTGCAAGGCTCATTTAGCCGAAACATCCAGAGAGGGCCTGGGCTCATTAATGAGCTTTCAAGGCATTTTGCAGACGCAAAACCCTGCGGGACCTGTCGAGGATCTCCCCAAAGCCCATGTGTGGCGGGAGTGGGGTTTTCCCTGGGTCACCCACAGAGCCACCCCTTCTGATGGCAAGGTCAGCATAACATTTTTCTTCTACTCGACCCCAGTTTTGCTTAGGGGGAAGAAAAACACCAACCCCACACCCAGCAACAACATTTCATATTCCACCCATGTCGCGCTAACAACCGAAGGCGACAGCAGCTCAACAGCAAGACGACTGCGTAGGCACCGGGGGACTGCACGGAGCAGACAGATCTGGGGCTCCCGTGCTGGCTGGTGGGCACAGAGCCCTGGGAGGGTACAGGGGTGATAGAAACAGGGGGTGCCCAGGTCAGGGTCTGCTAGGAAGTGTCAACCGGGGCACCCACGGCTTTAGGTGTGCAGCTCCTGTTGGTGGAAGCAACCAGCACCCTTTCCCCCCCACCCCTGCAACGTATACATCCTATATATACACATACATATCGTGTGTGATATATACCCCTGCGCAGGGGTGTGGGCGGTGGAAATGCACGCTGTCACCACTGGATGTCACTCCTCCCCTTCTGGGTTTTTGGGGAGACCCGGGATCAGGCTGAGGGGTCCCTGGGGGGAACTGTGAGCCTCAGGAGAGAGCAGGCTGGGTGCCATGTCCCAGAGAATCCCCTCGGGGTGGCAGTAAATGCTGCCAGTTAGTCCTGGGCAGGATGGGGAGCGGGGCTGGAGCCCCAGTATGGCAGAGAACCAAGAGGGATACTCTGGTCACCAGATCTGTAGGGACTGGAGGCCACACAGCCCCTGAGGAAAGTTTTGGTGGAAGGGACAGGGAGGGTCAAACCCTCCTGCTGGAAGTTGAGGGCACAGGATGACACCCGGGCCAAGCTCCTCTGTACCTCTTGCGAGAGCACCAGGGAGCTCGGCCAGGGCAGAGGTGGGTGGGAACAGCCACTGTTGCCCATGGACACAGGGCTGGGATGAGTCAGAGAGACCCCCAGGCAGCCCCACATCTGCATGTCCAATTAAAAGCAAGTGTGGGTCTTACCAAAGCAGCCCCCACCCCTTTGACACCCGCCCCCACCCCGCTCATATATATATTTGTATACACACAGCTTGTTCCCGTGAGGATGGTGATGGAGGTGACAGCAATGATGCAGAACATGTATACGTATACAATACAAGTATATGCTTTGGTATTGACGGTTAAAGAGAGTTTTAAGCCTAGAATGAAAAAATTCAGACCTTTGCTTCCTATCATACCCATGCAGCCGGCTTATCAGGGGCTCATCCAAATCCACCTTAAACAGTAGGAAGTGGGTTCTTACTAGAGACAGCTCATCAAACTCGGGGGCCGGGGGCGGCCCCCCCATGACCGGGGCGGTGGGTTTGGGGGAGGGGGCAGGTGAGGTGTAGGCATGGTTGAGCGTGTCCCCCTCTTCCATAGTTCGGAAGGCAGCCAGGCCCATGTCATCTCCCTGTATATCATCCAATGTCTCCGTGAGGGCTGCCAGCAGCGCTTCGTTCTCGCTGTCTATTATCTGAAATGAGCAGGCAGAGAAGAGAGGGGGAGTTAGGCTGGGCAGAGGGTCTGTGGGATGCTGGGTGAGGGAAGAGGGACCAGCAGTGCCACACCAGCTCCCACTGACCAGCTCCTACTTCCTAGTGACCCCACGGAGCAACCTGTGAGAGCTCTTCCCTGGCACACCACCAGGATGGGATGAGGAGGAGAGACCCAACTGGAAAAGGAGCATCAATCTGTCCACCTGCACCCCCAGCAGGAAAATTATGAATCAGAGCATCTTCTCTCCCAACACTTGTCTCCACGCCACCATCATGCAAACAGTAGAAGATAAAGGATCTGTGATTAAAAGGCTCCTTGCCCAAATGCTCCTGTGCCCCCAGCATAGGCTGTCCCAGCTGGGATGGGAGCTCAGGGAGGGGGCAGGCACAGCACCCTGCCCTCCATGGGGCTGGGGATGCCTGAGAGGGCACAGCTGGTTAATCTGCAGCTCTCCTGACAGGGAAGGCAGAGAAAACGTGAGGAGCTGTAAGCTCAGCCCAGGGCTGCCCAGTGGACAAAAGGGCACAGCCCCCTGGGAGGGCACAGGGGAAGCTCATCCTGGGCTGCACTGCTGGCAAAATACTCCAGCTTGTAACAACAACCAGTATGAGTTTTGTTTTCACTGAAAGCCCCCAAATTCAGGCACCTCCAGCTCAACAGGGATTCTAAGCCCTCACTCTTAAAGCTGGCTGCACTCAGTGCTCTGCAAGGGACCTTGTCCACAGAGCACAGCCCCCAGAGCAAGATGGGCCTTGCACTACAGCTCCCCTGACCTATTTTTTGGGTGAACAGCATGATGTGGGGATGCTGATGGGAGATTTGTGAGTGTCTGGGGCTGCACTGGGCCAGTCAGGGCCAGGGGCTGCTCCTGCCTCCTCCCTTCTTGCTGCCCTGACCCGACCCCTTGGGTCTCTCCCTCTTTCCATCTGGGCTTTGGCTTGGCTGATGCACCTCCAGCCTTCCCAGTGTCCTCCCAGTCCCACACAGCCTGAGTTCCCTTCCAATCTGGTAGTACACTGCAGAAGCCCAAAAGAGGATGCAGAAGCTAAGGAATGGCTGGAGTGAGTCAGGAGTTCCTTCTTTTTGGTCCTACTCCATCACACTCTGAATGTAAACCATGTTCAACAAGAAGCAGGCTACCATCAGTGATAAAATTAGCACGAGGGTAAATTCAGGCTCGCGAGCAGGACTGTTGCCTGCACACACCCTCCTGTGTTTCTCTCATCTTGTTTGAAAATTAAATATCTTTTGTTCCCTGCCCTAACCTTGCTCACAGTTACTAGAGCAGGCTCCAGGGAAAGGCAGCAGGATGCTCCATTTTTGGCTCCGTTTCTTTTCCTCCTGTTATTGGCACGAGAGCACTGTGCATACAAGTTCAGTGGGATACATTTCATCATCCTCCACTGCTCCTAATGGGCCTGTCTTTTGCATTTCTTTTCTGTTTATCTTTTCCCCAGGAAGTTCAGCGGAAAATATGCATCTCGTGATGAAGGTCCCTCAGCTGGACTGGACCATTTTCAAGTACAGCATCAGCACAGCATAAAAGCCACAGGGTTGTTATTACGGCCAGGTTAGAAAATATTGGGGCTTTTTGGGTTTTTTTTTCCCTTGTTTAAATATAAATCCTGCTCCCTCACAAAATGTAACCCAGAATTCGTGACTAGCTGGCACCAGTGGGTCACAACCTCCTTGTCCGAGGGGTAAGAACCTGGGCGCTGCTCAGGAGGGCAGAGAAACTCCAGGTCCCAAGGATAGGCACATCCAGGGCATGGCATGAGCTTTGGGAAAGGTGAGAAAGGCAAAGTGCCTGATCTCCAGGCAGCTTCTGCAGCTCCCTGTCTCCAAACCTGCCTCTGCAGTGCTCACAGCCCTGCCCTGGCCCCACAGCTCCATGAGATGCTCAGCTCTTCTCCAGGGAGAGACAGGAACAGTGCTGAGTGTTATGGACCAGCCCTGCCTGTGCCCAGGAGCACCCTCTGTCCCAGCACCTCTTGCATCGTTCAGTCCATGCTGGCACATGGATCTATCTCAGCACAAAGCCAAGGACAGAAACCAGCCACCTCTGCCAAAAGAACCTGAGCCCCAAACAGGGGGGGCTGCCAAAACTGGGAAGCCAGCGTAGGTGGGGCTGCTTTCTGCTCCTGAGAAAGGAATAATGCTGCCCCACAGCACAGCGCTGAGACCCCCGCACTGCCGCCCTGGCACATCCTGCCGTTCCGGGAATCGAACGGGACGCACTGCACCCCGGCTGTAATTCCCTGTGAATAATACATCACAGGAGGGCTGGCTCAGCAGCCTCCTCTGCTCCTCCACCTCCTCATTAGCCTTACTCCGCTTGCCCCATTTAGAGCCGGTGCACAAATTAATGGAGCACTAATCAGCTGGGGAGGAGATATTAATAGTTGTGCGTGTTCCCTCCTCCCTCCCTCCTTCCTCCCCCTGCCTCCATCCTCGGGTGCCCTGTGCCGGGAGGATGGGGGTACCTGGAAGAGCTCGGAGTCATCGGTGCTGTACTGGCTGGAGTCTGTCTCCGAGTGCTCCCCGCACCACTGCAGCTCGCTGAAGCAGCTGGCCGAGTCGAAGTCGCTGGCATCCAGCTGAGACAGATCGATCTCGGGGAAGTCAGAGTAGAGATGCTCCTCGCCAGACACCTCGTACTGTGCAGAGAAGAGAAAGGGGGTGAGCCCATTGCTGTGCCAGGGCAACAGGAAGCAGAGGGCAGCAGCGGAGATGGCCCTTCTGGTGCGCTCCCACCTCCGCTCAGGCCCGTTTCTCAGACCCTCTTCCCACATCGCTCCAGGAGCAATTTCACGGCAGTGCAGAGCGTGGTGAGCACCTGCCAGACTGGTTTGCACAGCCTGGCACTGGCACTGCTGGTTACTGAGAACCCCCCACAACTTCCATCAAACCCCCATCTCGTGTCCCAGCTGTGGCAGGAGTCAGAACAGCAGCATCTGTACTGGAAGAGCCTCACCTCCCACAGTGAACAGATGCTCAGGGCAGAGCACAGCCACCCAAGCTGTGCAAAGACAAAGCAGCTGCTGGAGCTCTTAGGAGCCATTCCTGCCTTTGGTGTCCTAAGGGTGACATCCAGGTTATCTAGCTGGAGGCCAAGGCAAGAGTCATGGGTGCACATGGGACAGCAATGCACAGGGCAAGGCTCCCGTGAGTGGCCTCACACTTGGTCCCTACCCTGTTCCCGTCCCTGCCACATGGCATTGAACCACTCAGGGACAGTCCCTCTGGGGAAGCAGCACCACCAGTGCAATCCAGACCCTGCTCCCTGTGTTGTACAGGATGAGAAAATGGCATGGAAATGAATGGATGTCTGGGTGCACACAAGCTCTAGGAACTGAGCTAAAAATCTCCATTCAACCACGGAAAAGAGCTGGCACCTGCCCTGCTTCAGCCTGGCTTCCAGCCACTGCCCTCCCACAAAACCCCATGGCTCACCCAGCACCCCCAGAGTGAGGGCTGGCACCGGCACCCACTGCCTGCGCCAGCATTTGGACCCTGCCTGGTTCTGTCCCTGTGTCCAGGTTCAACCGCACAGGGGAAAGGGCTGGTGCGACTCCTCCCGGCATTGGCTGCCCAGGGGGAGTTTTCTGGCAGTGAGGGAAGCAAGTTTATTTACAGAGCAAATGGATTTTGGAGCAGACAAACATCTGAGCATGTGAGCAAGGCTGCATGGGCAGGGGAACACGGGGCTCCTCCTCCTGAAGCGCCCTGGAAGGGTCTCCTCCTTCACTCAAGGGGAAGGAAAAGGGATTTCAAACACAGCTGGAGGAATGGAAAATACAGCTTTTCTCTCTTTCTCTTTTCTTTTCTTTTTTTTGTCGAATTGGGATAATCTAGGATTATTGATTGTGTTCCCACAGGCTGAGAAGCCTGTCTACCATGCTCCCCACTGTGTTTAGGGCACCCCAAAGGGCACCTCGTGCACACACTCCCATTTTACATTTCTCACCTGCCTTCCACCCCAACCAGCCCCAGGAGAGGTGAGAAACAGGGAAAGCACAGGCAAGGACAGGGGGGAGAGCATTTGCATGGCCCAATGGTGAGTCAGTGCCATGTCACAGCAGCTGGGGCTGCTGATACTGCCCCAACCCAAGCTCTGTGGAGGCCTGGGAGCTGTCCCATGGTGGGGGATGCTCTCCCCAGCATCCTCCCTTCATCCTGATGCTGGAGGGAATGTGGACCAGGTAGATTACACAAGTGTGGTGCCACAAAGTATATCAGGCACCCCTGAGTGGCTCCAGGATCTGATACTCCTGACAGGCCCCCCAAGGCTGGGGCTTTCCTAACCTGCCCTGCAAAAATCTTTGGAACCCAATGTCATCCCTGCCAGCTCTAGGGGGCACAGATGTAAGCCTTCCCCTTGTTCTCCTTCCCCCTCTGCTCAGGTGCAGTCTGGACTGCTCTGGTATCAGATGTCCTTTGGCCTTTCAGATGTATCTCGTACCTGCTGTGGCCTGTCCCTTCCTTCCTCCCCCTGCTCTAGTGCCTGCTCCAGAAAAAGTCTTGCAACAACTTTGGCTCCCCCTTCTCCCCAAATCTTCCCATGGGAACACAGGCAAAGGTTTTTATTTTTAGAAAAGCCATACATACATAGATATACGTGTGTCCCTGTGTGTGCGTGTGTGCGTTCAATTAAAAATAGCAGAGCAGTCAAATTCTCCTGCTCCTTTTGATATGCCTCAAGGGAAAAGATCCTGGTGCTGAGATCACAAGGAGCAGCTGACACCAGTGCTCGGGATGTCTTTTGATCAACTCCACAGATGTGACATGTCCCCATTGGCAACAGGGATGGGTAAAAATAAACTCCTGCAATCTAATGCTGCTGAGCTGCCCTCTCTGGGCACCACAGGGGCAGGACTGCCCCGGCACTGCCACACTGTGGATGCTCCCAGCTAGCACAGGTCAGGAATGCCTAAAAACTCAGATTGGCCTGTGTTGAGCCCCATCCTCAAAAAAACACACAGGGAGAGCCTTTGCCCAGTGCAATCACCCACACGAGCACATGGATGGGCACCCCAGCACGTGGTCACAGCTCCAGCCAGCCCCCTCTGCTAGACAGGGCCATTTAACCCATCCAACCACCAAGGACCTGAACCTCCAGAGGGAATACGTCACTCTGAGTTCAGAATCCATCACTCCAAGCACCACTAGCCCAGCACAGAGTGCTGAGAGTGAAGTCCCTCTGGGCTGGCCACAGGGGTGGGGAAGGACCCAGCCCCCCGCCCAGGGTCGGGGGTGGCAGCGGCAGTGGGGAGGCTGCCTGCGGGCACAGGACCTCATCTGCTCTGATTTTCCCTTTTCCCACCCTTTGCATTTCCTGCTGCCTTGGGAGAGGAGTGAACTTTTGTTCTAATTTTACTCGGGAGTTTGTAGGAAGATCAGCCATGGGTTCTTGGTGTGCAGCCAGCAAACACCCATGGAGACATGCTCAAAAATTCGGAGGCATCCTCCAGCCCAGACACCTGGCCTGTGTGTGCTGCAGCAAGGCTGCGACCAGAAAGCTGCTGGCAGCTCAGAGCAATGTGTCTGATGAATCTCTGCTCCGGGGAGGAGAGATGCCCTATGCAGCTGCCCCCATGCCACACACCTCCATCCTTTGAGGGAGCAGGAACCCAGACCTGGGCATCCTCTCCGGAAGCAATGCCATGCTGGCAGCTGCACCTGGCAGTCAAAGCTGGAAGGTGAAGGGCATTTGAGGAATGGCCTCCATTCAGAGACGTCCTCCTCCACTTTCCCTTAAAGCATGAACCAACTCTGACCTCAGCCCCAGCTGAGATGCATTCACAGTTCTAGGACAGAGAGGCAGCTGATACTTGCTCACATGTTGCACAGAGCTTCCCTCTGCAGAGGGGGGTTAGTTCCATCTCCCTGCCTGACAGTGAGAGTGGTCAATATGGGCCACTGTCTCTTATGTCCCCAGGAGCTCTGGTACGTGGGCAGTCCCTGGTTGGAGGCACATCCAAGGATGCCCTGTTGAGCACAGCTCAGTGCTGGCTCCTGATGTTGTTGGGACAGCAGGTGAGACATTTCCCTTTCAGTTCTTTCCCCTGTTTTAGAGCAGTGTTAACTCTGGTGTGAGAGCATGAGAGGTCTTATCACCGCAGAGACATAAGGCTCCTCTCCAAGCCCAACTCGATAATTCAAATATTGGATTAACAAGACAGGAAATGTTTTCCTCTTTTTCAGTGTCAACTTGGGCTGCTCAAACTAAATCCCCCTAGTCAGAAGGACTGGTAGAGGCTGGCTGGGGCTGGGCTGCTGGCTCCCAGGGTCAGCTGTATCTGTGAGCCCACTGAGAGCAGGAACCACAGCCCTGCTGCCAGGCAATAGCAACCTAAACCAGGGCAAGCATGAGAGCTCAGTTCATTGTCTGCTGTGCTTAACTGGCTCAGGGAGCTGGGGACAGGGCAGTGACCGTGACAAAGAGACCTGCAGGTCCTCTCCTCTGTCACACCCTGACAACCACACCGATAGAAATTTCCCTTATCTGCAAAACCCTTGGGTCCAAACCCTTGAAGTCGTGGCCAAGCATTTTGGAGTGAGCTCTGAGCACACTATGATGGCACACACACTGTGCTCATGCTTAGTCAGGCTGCAGAAGTTGCAGCCTCAGAAGTCTGCCGGCGTGAAGGTGCTGCTGGACACGGGCAGCACCTTCACGGGATCCTAATCCTGCCTAAGCCTGGGAGGGCAGCTCTGCATTGCTGCCTGCAGACACAGCCCCAGGATGCTTTGCAATTGCCTTGTCACTCACATGCCGCTTTGCTGTGTGGAAAAAAAGGACGGAAAGTGGCAGCTCCTTGGAGGGGTCAAAGGAACCAGCCAGAAAGAGGCAGCCCACCTCCTCCTGAGGAGCGAAGCAGTGACTCAGCCCCGCGCAGAGCCGCCTCCCTCCTCACAGCCAAGTGCCTACTCAAAGCATTAAGAGATAAATATACATCCACACGTGCTGGAGACAGAGCCCCAAATTAGCCAGTAGCGTTTAGGCTGGGACCCAAACGAGCAGAAGGTGAGAAATGCCGAGAACATGAAGTGCCAGATCCCGCCAGCCCTCCCTCGGCCCCACGGGCAGTGTCGGATCCCAGCGCCCGCCTTCGCAGCCGGACGGGGAGTTTCTCCCTCCTTGCCCTCACCCCAGGCTTGACTCTAAAAAGGAAAGAAAATCCCTGGGTAGGGGTTTTGGAGAGAGCCGTCTGGGCTTATCAGGGAAATCCGTAATCACAGACTGCTTGCAATGGGGATTACAGCCATGCAGGGAGATGGGCACCGCGAGGCTGTTTCACCGGGATGAGCTCTCACCGGGCAGTGCAACGGTGGGCACAACTGCTCACCCCGACAGCTGCTTTGGGCAGGGGGAGCCCCACTTGGGCAGGCCAGGATTGGTTCCTGCAGACCCCCAGCACCCTTCCAGGCTGTCCCACCACCAGAGTGGGGAGGCGCCGGGGACATGACCCACAGTGGGACCAAACCCAGCCCCATCCGCCCAGGGGTGCACTCTGCTGTTCCTGCAGCTGCCACCCATGGACAGGGTCCCTGTGCAGTCAGGCCACCAGCACCCTGAGGGGGTGAAGCTGGGTGCTGCCAGCCTCTCATCATCCCCAGGGATGCGCCAGCTCCATCCCAGCCCAGAGGGACCCAT